GAGCAACCACAAATTCTTTGGGCAACCTGTTCAAGTGCCTTAGCACCCTCACAGTAAAGAATTTCTTCTGAATATCTAATCTAAATCTCTCTTTCAGTCAAATGCCATTCCTTACTGTCCTATCACTACATGCCCTGCTAAAAAGTGCCACTTCCAGCTCTCTTGTAGCTCCCTTTAGGTACTGGGAGGTTGTTGTAAGGTCTCCCTGAAGCCTTCTCTTTTCCAGATTGAACAGCCCCAGCTCTCTCAGCTTGTCTTTATAGAAGAGGTGCTCCAGCCCTCTGACCATCTTTGTGGCCTCCTCTGCACCTGCTCCAGCAGGTCCACATCCTTCTTGTGTTGGAAGCCCCAGAGCTAAACTTACAATGTGATTAACTTCCAAACTGTGAAGGCTTTTCTACACGCAAGCAGTTTGGGACAGTCTTTGAATGATTTCTGGATTTGCCTGAAAAGGTTCACAATTTTTGAGCCTTATTAAAGGAAAGTATCTGAAATTGTAAAATATTTGTTTGATTTATTTGGGAGAGTAAGAAAAATGATAACTATTGTGGGATCCGGCAACTACAAGAAGCATTCCTCTTTGTTAATCCTTCAAACTCTCCAGAAAAGCCCAGGAGCACACGAGTGCTTGAAGGGCACAGGTCTTGCCTCAGGTAAAGCAAGGCTTCAGCAGAGGTAGGTATCAAAACCAGGTTCACAGGCAAACTGAAAATAAAGCCCCTCAAGTCTCATGTATATTGTGTCCTCTGACACAATCTGTTAGACTTATTTTTATCAGCCATATGACTAGTCCTGTTCACTGTACACATTTCAACAGAAAGAAAGAGGCTGAGCAGCAGAGGGCTGACTGTTTACCCTCTCTTGGCTGCTATGCTCCTGTCCAGACTGACTCTTTCTAACAGAGATTTCACTTTTTTTGATGGTATCAAACCTTCTTCAGGGTTAATGAAAGGTCTGGAGCATAGGACCTGAGACTGGGAGACCTTTTAGGAACAGAGAGTAGTATCAAAGCCAAATCAGGAAAGCAAAACACAGGAATTCCAGGGAATAGGTGCCAAGGGATACCATGTGAAGTCAGTGCAATCCACGACCCTTGCTGAAAGTTACTAGAATGAGAGGGTGGACTAGTTAAAAAGTCCCACCCAATAAGGACACTACAATCAAAAAGAAAGAAAGGCTTTGCAACCTTTACTCTTCTCAACATTCCAAGACTGTAGAAACCGCAAATTTAAAAACAGATATTGAATTTAGGACATGACTGTGCTTGAACATTGGACTTGCAAACAGAAGACAACTGGTAAGAAATTAATTTCTGTTCAAATTAAGTGAGCTGCCAGGGTCAAGACTGTGTTATTACCACAGTGCATTCTCTTTCTTTTTCTTCTTGTTAATGGGATACAATTACATGAGCTTTAGCTTTACTGCACTTTTAGGTTAGTTATTGAAAAAAGGTTCACATTTTAAAAAAGGGAATTGAAAATGAACGTTGGAAACAACCAACGCTCCCACTGCTGCCATATAAACAGATTAATGGTTATTTCCCTAATTAATCTAAATCGCTCATCCAGTGTAATTTGGATGACTGCAGCAAGGTTGACTTTTTTATGTACTTAAATTTTCTCTTAACAGTTGTGGCTAGCTAATATATGGAGAAAAATAAAGTCAAATTTTAAACATGTTGACTGCAAGCTGGGCATATACCATAAGCAGTGGCATTCCAACACTTGCATAAGGAGAAAAAAAATCTCACAAAATAATTTTAAACAAAATTTACCAAATTCTCCAAAACCATGTCTTTAGGAGCCTCTCAGAAGCACTTTGATCATACTGATGAGGGTCCTCCAGACTCCTTGCAGAATTTGCAACACTCACCTCTTTATTTTCTCAGGCAGTCACAGGGAAAGAGGTTTTGTTGAAGATGCCAGCATGTACTAGGCTTGTCAGGATCTCAGGCTTAACCCTGCAATGACTCTGACTCCTTAGGATATAATCTTCATATCATGGTTTACAGCAATAAACTACGACAAGTTCTGAACCTCCTTAGCTAAAAGAATGAAAAATGTGTATGATCTGTTACCACAGAAATATTAGCTAAGCATCTCACAGTCCTGTAACAGTTAACTTGGATGTTCTCCTATGCCCAGTGCTTTTTAAATCTGATGGATTTAGCTGTGAACTCTTATCTGATACACAGTGCATAACATACTGTAATGAGTTCAACAGGACAGCTGAGTACTACCATTTCTCTTGACATAATTTCTCTAAACAACTACATTCTGATGAGCTGCTTTTACAGTTTGGTTTCCACAGAGCCATATTCTAATCTCCTAGACAAACATTCTGCATCTCCTCTAAATCTACAACTTCCAGCATGAAGAGATGGTTCTTCATTGTATATCTGTCCATATTCTTGGCATTTTTGTAGCATCCTGAATACTATGTCTGATTTTGTGTTGTTAATCTGCTGCAGCATCTGTTCAGAGCACAATACTATGGGGCAATAATTAAGCAAACACAACCTTCTCAGAAACACAGACTGTTATTAAAGGTTACTATCTATTTAAATTGTGACCTGATGCAAGTGGGTGAAACAAGTGGGATTTTGCCAGCTTTCAAAAGGAAATAGAGCTTTGAGCTGTGCCCTGTGTCCAGAAGCTGCTGTTAACACAGCACACTGCACATACATCTGCACAAATTACGTAGTATGTTGGAGTTACATTATACTTCAGTATCAGCTTAAAAGTTACTTTCAGATCAGCATAAAATCCAAGGGTTTTGCAAGCAATAAGTTGGGTTCCAAACCAAAGCAACCACAGATTACTTTCCTACAGGAGTGAAGAACTCAGCCAAAAGCAAGCTTAGCTCTTCTTCACTGCTTGATGATCTCTGGTAGGCAAGCCTTATTCCATAGCCTCACAGCTAAGAAGACTCCCCGTGCTGGTTTTTAACCACTTCCACGAGCCAAGAATGAGAAGGCCAGAAGTCACATCAGGACAACAGTGTAGGGTCAAAAAAGAAGCCAGAGACAATAGCTGTACTACAAGACTGGACAAGGGTCAGAAAAAAATTAGAAATAAGAAATAGCCACAAGGAAAGTATAGGAAGAAACTCAGAAGTTAAATGAGGTGGAGGCTGTACAAAATAGAACATTGGCAATAAGTGGACTACAGGGCAGATGGTAGAAAAAAGTATCACACTACTACACCCTTTCTTTTCTCTATATTCATCTTATTCCTGGTTGAAGCACTGGATTTTCAAGAAACCAAGTCAAAGGAGTTGTACAAGAGTTTCCTTTTGCCCATTCTGAATTAAAAACAAACAAACTCAAATAAATGGACAGAAAGCTCCCTCACAGTCCTAGAAGCAGCAGCAACTTTTGGAGGGATAAAGGCAATGCAGACTGTATGTTTTGACTACATGAAGGCCCCAATTCCAGTCTTTGCAATTTCTGTGGAAAGGTGTTGTGCAGGCATGGAGTAGATATCCAGTACCTTGACCACAGACACGGTCTCATGTTCATCACTGTTAGTTCCCTTGTCTCAAGCAGTCACATGCTTTGTGGTTTGCCTTAACAGCAGGGGAAAGAGACAGCATTTGATTCATATGGTGCTCTATAACCAGTAAGGTCAGTGCTCTGGGTACATTTCTTCAGCCTTGGCATGACTCACTTTCCATAGCCACCTTCCAATCGGAGGCTCAGAGCAGTAGCCAACATGGAATTCAGTCACACCAGAAGCTCAGGCTAGGGAGCAAGAGGAAGGTCCGAGCAACAGCAGCAGGAGATGGAGGAGCACACATGTTGGGCAAAGACTATGGACTAGCTGGAGACTTAACTCTCAATTTAATACACCAAGGTTAAACAAAGTGCATGGATACTGTTCTGTGGTTGAATAAAGTCAGCCAGAACCAGACTGCTGAATGAAAGAAAAATAAAGTCCAGGCAGGAAGAGAAAAGCTCAGATTTATCTTCCACATGAATATCCTCTTCTTTCCCTTTACAAAAATGTTTATTTTCTTTGTTCCCAAACTTGCTACTTGCCTTTTTTTGGCAGTGCAATATTTGAAGAGTAAGTTAATTATTTACTTGCTTCAATTAACATATATTTTCTATGTGATTAACCATGAGGCATTACCCAAACAAAAAAATCTTTGGAACAGACACGGTAATGAAACAAAACAATGCTCCTTTGGGAAGCAATCTCCAAATACTACAGAAACCTCCTTTAAAGAAGCATTGCAAAAAACAGTCACGGACAGTTGCCCATGCTTACTGTTTTTTAAATAACTTCAGCAAAAATTTCCTAGTTCTTGACATGAAACCCAGCTGAGATTAGTAGATTCACAACTTACACATCAAAAGCTATTACACTTACACATCAATAGCTATTTGCAACATCAGTACTTCTAAACCTTAGAACTGGTACCTGTGCGTACCATCATGTCTGCTCAGCATTACTATTTTGGGGTGCTTGACAATATGCTGTTTGGTACATTTCAACAGATACCAAACATTTGAGGATTTTGAAGAAGCCTATGAAACTTCATTTCATACATTTTCATTAGCAGTGTATTCTTTCATTTGCCCATCTAAAGCTGGGTTCTAAACCAATTCCCCAAATACTGTACAAGGTGACAAAGTCCAACCTCAGTCTACACAGAAATATCAAGGCAACCTTCTTAACGTAGCTTCCAGGCAAGATGAGGCTGAGGTAGACCAGTTATTATATCCTACGTGTGTTGAGATTAGAGTCCATGTGACACTTTACTGCATGTAAGAAGAATGATGGGTTTACCTTTCAATCCAAAGACAGGAGAACAGCATTCTTGCTTCCTGCCAGACACCAATTTATTTCTTTAAGAAGTATGCCATCTACTGATACATTATTACTATACCATTCTTCAAGCGACTTCACACAACCACTGACCAAGACCAGTCTTAGCTGTGCTAGTTGAAAAGAAAAATAATATTCCATGAACTTACAAGAAACGACAGCACTCTCTAAGCCAGTGAAATGTGTTTTATTTTAAGCCACTGCTAAAACAAGGACAAATTTAGTGCAACCTGGAGTTCATAATCTGAAAACTGAATATAGTTAAATTACTGAAATGGCAAAACTTGTCAGCATTATACAGAACAAGACCTTCATATTCATTGAGTACAGTTACATAAACATTAATAGTTATACAAACTGCTTTTGGTATACAATTGCATCACTAACTGGGCTGTGAATTACTGTAACACTGCACATATAAGCAGCAGTTCCAGCAAATTATAATAAACTTTAGTATTAAATACTATTCAGACATTAAAACAGAACAAAGGCCCTCTAAAACTACAACTCCAGCTATACAACAGGAATGTACAAAGATGGTGCAAAATAAAGTGACTACAGTGGCTGGGCTCTGTACTTGCCACTTCAGAGCTCAAGTACAGTAAATGCTTGACAGCAGAGGCTCTTGCTGAAAAGCCAAAATTCTTACACTAAAAATCATTCCTGAATCTCGTATTTTCATTTGCTAATCAACTGTCTAAAACTACAGGGGTTTACGCTGGTGACCATGTTCACTATTTATTGTGTTCCCATCTCCAACAATATGTGGCTGTTCATCGAAAAGGTCCCAGACAAAGTTACACTGGAAAATGTAACATTTAAAATCTGATACCATTCTTGAGAGACCTAACTAGTCTCGGAATGTGGATTGCTGGGTTTTTGGGTTTTGGTCGGCTTTTTTCTAAAAAGCTCACACAATCTTTTAAAACTCAAGAACAAAGAGACTACAGAAACTGCATTCAAGTACACCGTCTGAGCTACATTTTCACATCCTTATTATGTGACAGCAAATCCTCTCTAATTTTAGCATATGAGTTTGAGTGTTTTTTGATTTTAAGGCTTTATGCATACTTCTTTTTTATTTATGCACCCCATTCTGAATGTTTAAACTTGTTTTAAATATGGACAACTTTTAATTGTTAATTTATAGAGGGACTATTTTCAAAGTGCTTTTTTCCACAGAATCTTACAAACCATCCCAACACTTCATAAATACATTTGGTGTTCTGAGAAATGGAAGTGTTTGGGTGATTTCTGAAACAGTAACATCATTGGATATACTTTCCTCAACTTAAAAATTAAATTACCAGAGCTTCCCACACAGAAAAAATGCAAGATGAAATAAACTCTACCTTTTTATGTTTGTTTATAAAGCAGAGTTGTCTGCTTTAAATGGACCAGAATGTGGCCTTTCATGTTTTTACAGTTTTCACTTACACTTCTGTACCTGTGGTCAGGAGTTTTAGATAAACTTAGCAAGTATCATTTAAGACTCTCATTAGCAAAGAACAGCTTTCTCACTAATATGGCAGACAGCATCAGTTAGATATAGTCAGAGTAAGGTTTTCCAAAGATTATTAAAATTATTAAATTATAATTATTTTGCCAGGTTAGTTTAATGCTTTCCTAATTTCATACTCAAGGAGAAAAGTCAAGTCACTCAGAACAAATTTAAAACAATTTGTACAGAAAATGGTTACAAAAAACAATTTGCTTGTTTCCAGTAAAAATGAAGTATTTTACAACATTTTTCTCATGTAAATTTGGAAACATAAATATTTGATGCAGTCTGAAAACAAGATTCCATTTATAAAAATAATTTTTAGTGCAACTATTGTCTGTTACACTTTCTGAATAGCTGTAAGCTTTGGGAATCACACAATTTTCTGCCTTTCTCCACAGAAGTAACTAGAAAGAAAAAACACCAACTTTATAAAATCCAACATACTGAATAAATCAGTTAAAAAATGGCTGTTCCTGTGGTGTTGTTTAGCTGGTTGTGTTTTGTTGAGTGTTTTTTTTGTTTCAAGAGTACAGCTTTGTACATCCACAATACCTTCAATATCTTTCTCAATTTGGACATGTACAGAAACACTTTACTATTACTACTGTATCCTCATATCCTGAAATTCCACTTGGTGAGCAAAACTTACTCCTGAGGCACTGCTTTTAGTATTTTATTTTCTTGGTATTTCAATTTTGTAAGTAAATTTGTACTAGGGAAGATGTTGCAGCCAAAAAATGGTTTCAAATTTTTGTCTAAAACGACACTGAAAGTCAACCTTAAAAAAAAAGAAAGGAGTATGGGGATGGAGGAGGAAAAAAAATCCAGATAACTTTTGCACAATTCTTAAAAAATATTTGCTACTAGGCCCATCCTCCAAACACAGGAATTAAGATAACTTTACCTACCCTACTTTGGGCTCTAAAGAAAAATCATTCCTGACACCTGGCATTACATTACCTGTAACAAAAGACCCTGAAGTAGTTGTTGGTCTTTTTGTCACATGGCATACGTAGATCTTTCTATCAGTGAAATGATATGCTAAGTGAGGTAATAAAACTATGAGCGTAACAGAATTTTAATTTAGTGGCAAAAGTTTGCATTTAAAATTCGTATGGGTGAGATCTCATACACAAACAGATATACATACATACCTGTGTATGCACACGTGTGTACACACATATGTGCACATACAAAAACATTCAAAATCTTTAGCTCTGTGAGAAAGGCAGAATTCCAGATGACAAATGAGGACAAAAACAAACCAGATCTCTACAAAAAGGGCAGTGTAATGCCCTCCTGAAACACAAAGACATTACAAGGAGCGTGCTCTTGAGTTTACCAGTGTGACACCTCATAGTAATTCATGGGGTAGGAGAAATCAGAATTGTACATACACCATTCAAATTCAGGAATAGATTTAGAGACCATCTCTCTCTCCTTGTTTGGGATAACAAACTTGTGCACCATATCAACAGTCTACTTTCCTGTGAAAAAGTCTTAAAGATTTTTTTTGTTCATCCAAAATAAGTAAGGCTCTATGATTCTTTTGTAGGTTTCAGGTGGCAACCTTGTAATTACCAGCACGTGTCTTTTTCTCTCAAAGGATATATAAAAAAACAAAACCCAAAAAACATTTTCAAACTACAGGGTATGCAAAGGTCCAGATTTCCCTTCAGACAGAAAGGCAAGTCAGCAGCACTGGTGAGAAACCTGATGAGACTGCTAAAAACATTTGATTAAAAGTCCCTTTAAAAAAAATTCAGTGAAGGTAGTTAACAAAAATGAAAAATCCATTTGCAAGAAATTTCCCCTTTACGTTTTAATTAGCTTTCTTTGCTAAATGCTTATGTGCTCACTGAGTAACAAAACTCTCTTTATTACTGAAAAGAAAATTCATATGTGACTGCTAAGAAATAAAGAATTAAAACTAGTCAAAAAGACAGCCAAAATCCTCATAAATTTCTATCTGCTACTTTTAACACATCTGTGTGAGAGACTAAAGTACAAATTCTTTGACACAGAATTAGTGTCATAGAAGTATCTGCATACAAAAAGCATCAGTAAAAAATTTAGCATTTTAAATTTGATTGGAAAGCTGCAGGAAATCTTGCTGAAGAATTATACATGAAATTATGTTCAACTACTCACTCTGCCCTTCTACTAGAATTTATCAGCTCTATGGTGCTCTTGGGCACATAAGGCCTGGCCAAGATTGGTAATTTTTTCCATTGTCTACAGCACAGTATTCCAGAACAGATCCTTGCAGAAATCAGTGCTCTTAGTCACACTGTGAATATAGCACACACAGGAGTGGAAAAAAGAGCTATCCTGGCACAGTGGGAATCCTAAATATCATGCCTGAGACTGCCTCCTCTGAACTACTATCATAGACAAGGGATATTTTCATAAATATTTCGATGGTCTGAACACAGCAGTAAATACAAGTTATGCGTGAGTGGACAATACCGATTACAGACTGAATAAACATACCATGTGCACAGTATCACAAAGCACAGCACGGCTATTTTGACTTTCACCTCAAAGTCTTTTAATTGCTGACTATTACTTAAACATTCACTAGTTGAATTTTAGTTTACATATCTGTGCTCTTTCTATCTCCTTTCAAAAGAGGAATGAAGGATGTTGCATCTTTGGATTTTTCAGACATTTTCCAGAAGCCAACCAACAAAAGACTTATTTAGAGCTTGCTCTCCATCAGATGCCTTCTCTATCATTTCACAATATTTCAGCACTGCTTGCAAGAGATCTCCAACTTTCCAATCTCTTTCTTGCAGTCTTCTGGAAAGCTGAAGGGGAGACAGAGCAATACAAAACAAAATATTTTGACTGGGACATCCTGATGAACAGTTACAGAAGTTATTCTTGAAACATTAGGTCATAAGAGATCAGTTGTAATGAGTTAATCTTTATCCCCGCATCTATAAAAACAAAAACTTCCACAAGAACCAGGCACTTTTCTTTAGGGTAGTTTTCACAAAACTTTCTTCTGGAGGGAGCAACATTTTCAAATTATGTGGTGCCACAGGTATGAGGGCTGTGGTTCATCAAGACTGCAGAAAACAGGAAATTCTGAACACAAGATTAAGACGCTGCCACCCCTCCCATGCCAATAATGCACGTATAAAAAGACAAAACTCAGTCTTAATAGAAGGATGTGGATTTTCCTTTCACAACATATAGTGTGGTTCGGGTGGTACAGACGCTACCCTAAATGAAAACAGTGTCTTCAGAGTTGGGAAATTATAACATCTTGGGGAAGAGGAAAGGTGACAATTAAGTTAAACTACCATTCAGGAGGAGAGATCAGTGTAACTGAAAACATTTTTTTTTTGCCCAGGGTCCAAGCAAAAAAATCTTCCATTGCGTATGTGACAAGCTCAGCTATGTATATAAGAAAGCCTACTCTAAGGGAAGAATGAATTTGCCAGTTTGCCTAGGAGTAAAAAAACCAAACAACTTCTAGTTAAAACAAAAAACAAAACAAAAAAAAATCAAAAAATCAAAACACCTAACACCCACACAAACAAACTTGATTCTCTGTAGCTTTCTGGACACCTGTCAATGCTGCATTTAGTAAACACAGTTTAAACACTCTACTTACTCTTTGGAACTGTAGATTTTTATGGCCTTTTATAGTCCCTACCATGATATTCTATATATTAAGTTTAAAGAAAGTTATAAACAGTGTTTAGAGAATTATCTTTCACAGCTACGAAATTAAAAAATCGTAAAGTTTCTACTATGAGACCTGTCAGATTGCAATATAAAATTCTATTAAAAATGAAAAGGAAGACAATCTTTCCCTGTTTCTTCATCTAGATGATGTTCCACCTGCAAGAAGGCAGGTGATGGAACTGATGGAAAGAATGTGGGCATAAAGACATGTATAAAACAATTAACTTCTTGAGCAAACAATTGACTTGAACAAGTAAAAAAAGATCCTCTCTAATACTGAGCACAATTTATTCTGAAACCTTGAAACTTTTCTCAGTGGAAAAAAAAAAGACATCTCTACAAAAAAAGAGACTGAAATCTGTAGCTGTTTCTGTGAATTTTAAAGGAGAGCACAGGAAATAAGAGTTTTATAGTATAAAACATGCAATTTTGTAAATTATGTTTGTTGGTTTATAAAATAATGGTCATTTTTCTTTCCTCTGCCAGAGGAAAATTTGGCTAATGTCCAAATATCTACTTCAGCAAATACAGTATAAAACTTTTGTCCAAAGAAGATTCCACCATGGTAAAACTAAAGAAGTGGTACCTAAATTTTAATTTAGAGTTCAGAATTTAATCTCACTGTTTCTTTAGATGAATAATCTGTTTCTTACCGTTGGACAAGTGAAATATTAAAGTTTACTCAAAACAGGAATCTTAAAACAGCTAGGTAAGGTCTGAATAAAAACTGAATATATGTGGTTTTTTTCAATCCAGGCACTTGCATATCCACACTGCCAGGCTTCTCAAAGAAGTCAAGAACTATCTACTCTAATTTACTGGTTTCTTGTTATCGTTCATAACAAATATATTTTGTTTCATACATAGGTATTTAACTTCTTTCTGCTTTGCTGAGCATAACATGTACCCTTAAGTAAGAGTTCATACCAAGATGCAGCAAGTAATACCTTGCCTGATACATGCCAGGAGTATTTTTGCCTTTTATACAGTCACATCACGCCAGTGGTTCGTTACCCTGCTGTGACCAGCTAACATAAGCCTTTCCTCCCTTCCAGAACTCACCAACTGCTTATACTGAAAATTACTGTTTTCAGTGTAATCTAAAGCCCGGGTTCATTCCCCACATAACTGAGGTAACTTCCCAAGGTACCCATGAGCTGCCCCAAAGCCCACAGCTGGCCAGGGACCAGCACATCGGGGGTTGGTTTCGTTTCCTGCTGGGCTGCAGCGCCCTCTGCAGGTGCTTGCTCTGCTTTACAAGAGACAGAACTCGGAAAGACTGTTTCTAACTTAAAACCCCTCAGTCTGGGTCAGAGATCATTCCAATTGGGAAATGGGATGGAATAAAAAACAGGTAATCCTTCCCTGTCCCCGGAGAGGGAAACAGGATTTCAATTTCTTTTAACATAACTGAATCTGGAGAACTAAAAATAGTCTATAAAATTAAGTGAAACAATTAACTACCGTAGCATTTTCAGGACTGCATGACTACCGCCTGCCTGAAGGTCTTACGCCTTATCTTCAGGTGTCAACTCAGTATCAATTTATGACTGAAGTGTCAAGTAGGAAAATACTATCATTTTCTAGAAGTGCATACATAACAGACACTACTACTTTCCAGAGTGCTCTTCTCACTATATTCTCATATCAGGGCAGCTGGAGTGATGCTCAGACACAGAGCCAGCTAATAATACATTTCCTGTGTGTCTTTCAGCATTGGCTCAAATCGTACCATCACAACTTTGAAACCTATTAACTCAGAGCTGGCAGAAGAATGAAACACTTGAGGGAAAATTAAAAAAATAGGCACCTACCATCTACTTTGTGGCTTATGTATTATGTTCCAGTGTAAGATACAGGTCTCTCACACACACACAAAATAAAATTAACACTTGTGGGTCCTACTACTATCCTACCTGAATATTTGCAACACTGCATACAACAGGCATGAAACAGATAAACTGATCTTCAAAAGATGGCAAAAAAACTCATGAGGTAAGAAAGATCGTAACCCCAACTCAGTCCCATCAAAAAAACTTCAGGGAACGCTGGGCCAGGCACGTCAGAACAGAAAAAGTGAAGAATTTCCTTTTTTTGTGTTAAGGCACTTATAAACCATAACAGAGAAGAACATATAAATGTAAGGATTAAAATAAACAATTTCAAATAACATAAAAATGGAGAAAAGTATTCTCAAACTGCCTTCTAGTTTATGAAAGCATGAAGTCCACTCTAAGTGTCAGAACTACCGTAGAACAAAGCATATTCCTGAAGTAGTTCTAAATCTAAAACATACCAAGCTCCAGAGAAAGGAGTATAGGGGATATATTTCTACATGCCCAAAAAACATTTCCTAATTTTCTGGGTTATCTCAAATAAAAACTTCCTAATCTCAAATCAAACACACAGTTTTTGTATGTACCACACAGTTACACAGGCAAAAAACCATCCCCAAATCATCACTGTCTCTGTGGGCCAGAAAGGGAGATGCCAGTCTCAGGAAATTTCAGACCAGGTATGATCTTGACTGGCCACTAGCTACCTTTCACACTCTTAAGTCTACAGTAACTAAGCACCATAGGTGCACATATCCATCTAAGTTTGGGAGTCTGTTTTGTCATACTGACTTCTACTTCCCAGTCACTCCCCTTTTCTCCTGAAATGATGTGAGCTTTGGAAAGCATCAAGCTGAAGACTCAATACTAAATTTCAGAAGTGAGAACAAGCTTTTCCTCCCTTAATATACTGATATGCACGTTAAGTTGGTTTTGCCAAGATCTTAATTATTAAAACCATACTAATGGCATCACATTAATGCTTTTTCATATTACCAGATCATAAAACATAAATCTTTAATAATTTATTGTTCCTATGAACCTCATCATTAGAGACAATGCCTCTATATATATTAAGTTAGCCTTTCAATAGCCAGGTAATATTACAGTAATTCCTCGGTAGAAAATTAAAAATATATGCTGAATGTAATAAATTCCAGATTATCACATGCAGTTTGGTGTGCAGCCACCAAAGAATAACTTCGATGATTTTATAGGAATAAGTTCCTCTTATATGTTTGTGATGGAAATACTCAGGACAATATGCATACCAAAATACTGAGCCTTCCCAAAGAGACACAAATTGCTAAAGCCTAAGTTACGCTTTCTCTTGGGTCACATTAAATTTGATCTATAAAACCAAAATAAAGGTACCCAAGACTAAAGCAATCTTATTGAGCCTTCTTTCTCAATAGCTTTGGTTTCAGTTGCTTACAGAATAAAGACATACTTAATATCAACTCAGAAACTAAATTTTTTTCTAACAAGAAAACATGTCTTTGCTAGCAAAAAAACCCCCAGGCAGAACATATTAAGTTAGAAATTAATTTGCATGACCAAGTTGTCACAAAGATTCAATTTACAGACAAGTAAACACTAAGTTAAAAAATGCTTGAAAAAATACAATTTTCACCAAATTTATTTTTTTTTCAAATAAAAATGCTGTAATTGTATCCTTTTTGGAGCAAACCACTGGTGAAACAAGTTAATTCGGCTTTGATAATACTGGTTTATGTATGGTATATACACAGCCTAACCAGGCTGTTCCATTTTGATCTCTCAGGATTTAAATAACGATTTTCCTCAACGGTGAATAGCAAATGAAGTAGTAGTGGCTGGTGTACCACTCAATGGAAGTCCAGATAATCCTTTCCCTTTCCCACCACCCATCAAACCTGAATACTCACAAAGACAAATTCCCTTGAGGCAGTGTCACGGAAGTGAAGATCAGAAACCTCTGTTTCAGAAGCTGCCAGCCACTGGAGCACTGCTCTGAGCTGTGGGTCCACTAGATTTCCTTCCAGATCAATATTCGCTATTGATAAAGTCTTTCGGATTTGCTCCAAACCTAACATTAAAAATAAAATCATCAAATCTGTAGCTTTGTTTCAAAAAATCTCTGTAGTTCACTGTTTATAGACTCTACTATCTTAAAAATCTCAATTTAGTACACACAGATAATACGGAAGAAAAAAAAATCACGCTGGTCTGAAGTGTTCCAGTACTTTCACATAACGAAGTACTGTTTATCCCATTTACAGCTGTGTGCAAACATAGCTGAGTATTACAAGATATCTAAACTATAATGTATATTCCAAATGACAATGAATTTAACACAGCCTTTCATAAACTGAACAGCAATGGCTCTCACATGGTCCATCAGTTACTTACATTTCCAGCTGCTATTTTTTGTCATGCCTAAAAAGCGTATATTTCAGAATTCTTTCCTGTACTGGTCAGACTGCCTCTCAGTTTTTCCAAATATACTGATGGTTTTACTGAGGCACGTTCAATTTTTCAACACCTTTATATATCTTAAGTTCCAAAAATTAACACAGTACTAACACAGGAAGAGCAGCTGTGCTAGGAACACTTATGAACTACAGCATTGTTATCTTCTGTTCCCACACTGAGTTGCTGTATCCAGCTACCAGAGAGTGATCCTTTGTCACACTCTCAGAAACAACTAAGCACGTACGTAGCGCTCTCCAAGTTATTCTTGAAGTCTCTACTTTCAGACTACTGAACTTGACTCTCTAGAAGAATGGGATATATTTGCAACAGAAACACACATTCATGTTCAGTTTACTGCTATCTCACTACTCTTCCAATCAAGGTTATGAAAATTGCGGTACGTAAGGTTCAATTCCCAAATGGCAAAGTCAAGCAAGTTGAAACAGATTCCCTCGGAAAGCAAAAGAGAGAGAAAATTAACTAGTGGAACTGTCAAACCGAAGTGTGTTTGTAGTGGATAAAGGAAAGAACCAATCATTAAAAAAAAATAATTATGACACTTAGTGGATGGAAAGTATTGTAGTAATGTATTGCTGGGAAATTTTGGTATGTTTTTTAGTTTTATAAAATAGATGTGCATTTGGTAATAACAAGGCTTTGTTTCAAATTCTTTGGTGAACAAGGTACAGTCACCTTAGAAAAAGCCAGACATTTTCAGGTATGACACAAACAGAACTTCCAAATGTACAAGAAAACAAAGGTTTTCAACCTAGCACACTATTTAAATAGTCCTACAATGACAGCAACAGAAAGAGCTTTTTCAAAACAGTAGTGAGATGGTGAAGAGATTAAGCTGGAAAAATTTCACTAGAATATAGAGCAGTCTGTTGCACTATAGAGAGTAGGTGACACCTAAACTGTGTAAATGAAAAAAACCAAGTACTATTCTAATGGAGCAATTTGAATATTTGAGATGCTGAAACTCTTTAAAGTTGAGACCAAAAGAAAGCAATGGTATATTGATAAACTAGATGAAACCTACAGAACAGAAAAGATTGTAATTATAATTATTCTGAGGTAAAACACTCAATAATTTAATTTTATTTTATTACAACCCTACAGTCACATCCAATTTAATAAAATTAAGATATGCTGTTCATTTATATACATTTTTCCAGGAGCTTTAAAGGAGGGGAAAAAACACAACAAAAAATAAAAACAAACAAACAACCCCACAAAACCCCACACATCTTTCTGCTTACATCAAGACTATTTGAATATGTGCAACATGGCCAAATATCCTCTTGTAAGCAAGTAGGAGAGGTTTCTTGAAATGCTTATTTCATCTTCAGAAAATACCCAACACAAAGAAGAGCTCTATTATAACTTGCTCTAATATCAGCTCATTTTAAAACCCCACTCATACACTGTGTATTCGTGTATTCATGCAGGCTGTTTTCATGTGAGTTAACAACCTTTGGCAATCAGACTGGAACAAGAGCACAGAGATCTTCAAGCCACAAAGCTGTAACAAGATTCTGGACAAACTCCATTTTATACTTCACTAAGAAGAAAGAGAATATAGCAAAGGCATCGAATTCAAGTTTTTTCATTGTTTCCCATGACTCTCTTCCAAGGTTAATGTGTCCAGTTTGAATAACTTCTTCAGCATCTCGAACACAGCCATGCAGACGATTCCCATGGCTCCTTTATTTTAAAAACTAGTTACACTTCTTTTAAGAAGTTTTTTAAAGAGAAGTTATTCTACGCGTATAAATTTATGCTTTCAACAAGCTGATCAGAGTTCCCTACCTTATGTTATTAAGCTCGTGTGAACACCAGAAACTAGGATTTCCCAAAGGCTGTAAATTTCAATGCATTAAGAGGTGTATGTAGGGTATTAATCTACGAATACACTCTGACACTTGGCTGACATCCATTATGATGAATAGGGATAATAGGGTTGTCACCTTGTTTTGCAGACTACAAAAGCAAAGAATAAAATAATTAATGTAAAGTGCACAGGACAAGAACAGTACTATATGCTGGAACTGACATTACCTTCTACAGCATCCTTGGAATCTTCATCTTTATCTTCTGTTCCATCACTGTATTTAAAAAAAAAAAACAAAAATACAAATACAATCCAATATATGCACAATAAATGTAGTAAATCCTAAGACTGTAATGAAGGTTAAAGGACAGGAAGATCATAAAAGAAATAAGGAATGATCATGAAAAGAAGCTTTGCTTCTCAAACCATTCCATGATGGAAACAGATTTATCATCCACTTCACACTTAAAAAAATGAGAAGAGAAACAAGAGAAGGGTGTTAAAAAGGATTGTAACATGAAGATATTTAAAAATAAGAACTAAACATTGATTTTAATAGTTTTGCTTCATATGTGAAAAAGTTGAACCATCTCATGTCACAGTTATAAATAGTTATAGGTTACTTAAAGCTGTAAGTCGTAAGTGTTCTATTAAAAATCAATTACCAAGCAATTTTGAAAGTTAACACAAACTAAATAATAAAAAAAAAAAAGAAATCCTGTAGGAAGCAAGCTCTAGTTTGCATGAAAGAAAAGTATATCTAAAGACCTGTAAAACTGCAGGCAGGAACATGCAGGAAAGGGACCTTTCATTTTGCAAGCAGAACACATTCATCAGTTTAGCACAGCAAAATTTAATCATTCAGGATGGATTAATTAATGAAAAAATCATATTGTGATTAAGCGACAAGAGTGTGAATAATGTATCAGCATAAAAAATGCACTGTATTTTTACTTTCCAAAATGATTATTTCATGCATTAATTATGAGGAACCCAGCTGGTTTATATTTCTCAACTCAACCAACCTGTCTGATGTTGGAAAGGATAAATTCTCCTCATACATATCCCCTTCTAAACCAAGACTGCTCCAGCTACTGCTGTTACCATTACTGCCAGGAGAAGAAGAGAACATGGCTGAACTAGAAAAGAACAATAGCTCAAACTAGAACCTTCATTTTCCTTACAACTGTTTTGTCAAGACATTAAATGCAAGAGCACCTAAACTTCCTAAACAGGTTTGCTGGAACAGAGTACAAACCTGACTGTCAGTGCTACTCAGAGCAGCAATGTGCACAATACCACAGAACTAGTAAGTTTCAGTACACAGGTGAAAGTATTAATTTGTACTCATTAATTTTCCAGATCAATGCTAGCAGGAATTCTGTCCTCAGATCTAGCCATATTGCTCATCATTTATACAGGCTCAACAATTTCAAAATGATTACTCATAGAAATATGGATTACAACTGTAATATTTGCTTAAGGACTAGCTAAGAGTTAATAAAATTATGCATTGTGAAGACAACTGCACAATCAAATCCAGTAATAATCTCCAGCAGCCTGATGAGAAGGAATTCCTAGAGTAAATAATTTCTTGTTTTTTTCAATTCTGAACATTGTTCTGCAAGTGGAACTTTTAAAAATGGGGGAAGGGGTTACAAATCTGTGAAAACAATACTATAAAGATTACTTCACTCCCAGTTCATAAAAATACTCATTTATCCCATGACTACATTCAACCTGATGCAAAGAACTGAAAAAATGGAGCATGTCATCACACTCGTTAATTTTAGTCATTATAAATAGCTGAGTTTGTTAGGCCTGTGATTATGTACAAGATTGAGCTACTCATATGATTAAATCTCTGTTCCCTAACTTCATACCTCCCCCAGAGCACGTCTGGAAGCCTTCCAAGAACAGGACTACCAGATATCCAGCATTCTTTGAGAAAGCTAGATTATCTACTATAGATGGTATGAGAAGTATATATGAAGTAACTCCAGAGAACAACTGCTGCAAGAAGATGCTTTCTTCACCTAAGTTTTATGTGACTGTTGAAGCTCTTTTCCACTCATACCACTCAATGCAAATAGCAAAATAGTGGAAAGGAACACTTCAAGAGACTAATTTCTTTTTAACAGTTTGCCGTTAACAGTATCACCTAACAGTATCACCTACACTGCTTTCCAGTATGCCTGCTTGGATCCTAATTTCAAAATTTTGTTTAAGGATGACAAATTAAAAGTCTTTAAAATAAAGTCCTGTAACCACAGAACAAGTAATAAACAGAAAAAGGCATTATAATGCTTCTATAATGGTTCATGCAGCTACTCGACATTAGCCAGCAGAAGAGCAAAAAGAAAAGCAAGAGGCTTCTGCTCTGAATTATAACTTAACCTGGATGCTCTGATGCATCCCCTGGAAAAGCAATGTCCATGCCTACACTTATATGCTTAACAAAAAGCAGAAGATACAAGCACTCCCCTGCATAAGTAACTTTAACAAGTTCTCTAAAGAACATTCATTCAAATGGAACTGCCCATGGGAAGAGGTGAATTAATTCCTTGTTTTTCTTTGCTTGTGCCTGGCTTTTGCTTTACTTATTAAACCATCTTTGTCTCAACCCACGAGTTTTCTCACTTTTACTGTTCCAATTCTGTCCCCCATCCCACCTTGGGAGGAGCAAGTGACTGGCTATGTGGGCACTAGTAGCCAGCTGGGGTTAAACCATAACAATGGTGTTATTACTGAATCCTTTCTTATTACAGGTCTCCCCCGGTACCTTTTTTACTCAGGGTAATAACCCCAGATCCTGTCACTTCCACCCGCTAAACCTCAGCAACACAAATGAACACATAGTCAGTTCTGTAAAATCAGCTGATCAATTTGTGTATGTTAGTTTCTCCTGCCAACACCTCACTATCTGGTTATGCCTCCCCTTCTGTGAGCTAATTTAGGTCATTCCTCCTCTAAAGAGCCACAGATTTTCTTCCAAGTTATATAAATTACCTTCTTTTCATTTATAACTATTTTGGGGATGATAAACAAATAACATATACAACATAGATATGGCAGGTCCAGCAATTTTTTTATCCTTTTTTTCTCAGTATCCACTAACCTATATTTTATTCTCTATTTTTAACTGCAAATATGCTGAATATTCTTCCTCATATTTTGAATTTCATCATGTAAGTCTAACTCGTTTTCAATCATTCAACAGATTATGTTTTATTAAAGTAACTCTAAGTTAATGTATTCCTCTACAAAATAATTAACTTCTATGAATGATAAATTATCGTAGTCGTTGTCTTAAATTATTTAGTTAAGCAAAACATGAAAAATATTGCAAAAAAATAATTAACTGAGCAGTTTCACTTTGGTACCAAACAACCTACTTGTATGTTACATAAGAAACCACATCTCCCATACTTCCTTTAACCTCAGAGATGCTGGAAGTACTGACTAAAGAAAAAACCTCTCCCCCACTTCTGCTATTCTTCAACAGAAATGCTGGACTTTCTACAGTAATACAAGTGTTACATCAATCATAAAAAACTAAGTTTACTCATTCCTCATATATTCCTTATATAGAAGCTCGGGCCACAAATCGCAATATAATTCTCCCTGGCAACAGGCAGACATTGCAGATTTTAGAATTCCCATTTTAATATTTGTTAGCTATCAATCAGCCAGGGAAAGTGTAGTGAGAAGCTACTACCCTGAACAGGTAAGTTCCAACATCACACACCTGCAAGCCCATGGTTAGCAGCATATACATATTCCACCAATATCAATTAGAGCAGTTTATAAATACCAGTACCAAAAAAGACAAAAACAGCTGTAAAAGCTCCTCATGCAAATTAAGGTAATATTACTTATTTTCAAGAAAAAATGAATTTATATAAAATGCATTCTCTATGATTAAGTTTTAGTATTTTAGAGCACAACTTACAAATGGTACTGTCAGGTTGTATTTTACACAGGGTAGTTGTTTTTAAAATGCTTCCATCTTTTGCTAATACTTAAGTTTTATAGGTACAGTTTTACTTGATGTGACTCCCTGACATCAATGACAATACACACTCCACATATTTTAAAATGTGAAGATTCATGGCCAACAACATTTCGTAAGAAAACAAAACCGTAATATTAGAGCCATTTTTAATAAAAAATCATTGTGTGCTGAAGACAAAACCTCTTCTCCCCCAAGCTCCATAAGAAAACCATTTGATGACAAGTTATTTGATGTCAAGATAACTGTTTCACTACACTAACATGTTTATAGTTACCTGTCACTGAGGTGAAGAAAACTGCTGCTCTCATCAGGATGTTCATCTTCAAAACTTAGATTGGACCAACTCCCAGTGCTATCATCACCAATACTAAGACTCATCTGCTGGCTAACAACAGATTCAACAGAGTGAAATCCTTCTCTTCCAACAGAGCTAAACAAAAGTTTAAGACAAAAACATCACTGCATTTCATGCTGATCTGTGTTAGTTCGTTCAAAGCAATTTAACACCATTTCAGAGCCGTTAAATTCCAAGGAAAAAGAAAAGGAGAGGAATCTCTTAATTTGTACCCTATCCTCAACACAAGAAATGGAGCAACCAAATTAATCTGAAACATCAACAGGCTTAGGTCAGGGATTGCTATTTGGAATTCTTTCACTAAAATTCAAAAGGAGTGGCACAAATAATTCTCTCTTTTGGAAGATTATTACTGTAAAGCATAGAAGGCATTGTAGCCTTGCAGACTGTGTATCAAGGCACACTTTTCAAGCAGAAGACTTACAGTTTCTGAACTTGTTCACCATAGGACAAGTTTGGCTATTTTCCCCGGTCTGCTTTTGGTACAAGCAGCTAGGTGGTCTGCTATTGTAGGCAAAATGCTTAAGTATGAGCTGGTGTCTAAAATGTTAGGATTCTATTTTTTAAAAAGGGTTTTCTGTAGAAAAAGATTTGTCTTCCTCCTTCAAGAAAGTGTAGCAATGCATGGTTTGTACAGAATTTTTCCCCCAGGAAATAAGTTTCATTTTTTTATCCAAAAAACAATCAATCAAGCATAGCCCATAAAAGGTAGTCTCTAGAAGATACTTCAAAAAACTGATTTGAAGAAGTTTGAACTCCTTACACAAAAAAATTTACAAAATGAGAACATGCAGTTATGAACTAACTTTCATGGCCAAACTGTGATTATCTATATACATATGAAGCAAATATGCAGCTTGAACTGGAACCCACCAGGGTAGTACAAAGGTCATTTTTCCCCCATTTTTATTTACAATTATATCAGCACTAGCAGCAGTTCTCTACACCACACAAGGCAGCTTCTCAAGAAACATATGAATTACCTAGCACACATTAGACGACAATGTAAAAACATTTATAAATTTTGTCAGAGTAAAACTCTCATATCGCCTCCTTGTCACAAATTTACTAATAAACAATATTTCTTTGAACTCTGTGTTTTGTTGTTGACATATTCTAACTAGAATTTTTAAATGAAGTGTCATCCTTGATACTGTAGGTATAGAAAAACATCACCACTTGACTACTTTCTCTTTTGTCACACACTGAGTAAGGACTCAACCGTGCTGCGCATGAGCACTTTTATGCTGTTAGTATGTATGTGTTTCATATCAAACCTTGAAAAATTTAGTTCAGTCCCACTGTGGCCTTCACCCACTGAAAACAAAATAATCAATTTTATTGTCCATCATGATGGCCCTCAAAAAAGCACACAGCAGAAATATAAATATTACTTCAAATTTAAAAATACAACATGGTAAGGATAGCTCTTGGACCTGAAGAGGAGATTTCACTCTGATCACTGCACAGTCTGTTTTAAGAAACAGCTGTGGTTTGTCACAAATTCACTGTGGCATGTATTTCCTATTTATAGGAAATACACATGAATTTCAAAGTCAATTCCTTAATTACTGTATTACTATTCTATAACATAAAGTGTGGTTAATAAGTTGTTTTTTCTTAAAGTAACAGGCTGGGCTTTTTTTTTCCCCCCAATAAAAAGGAAACTACTACAACACGGCCATTATAAAAATTAAGCCTTCATACTACAAAGCAGTGGCTCGTTCAGCCAGCACCAGAAGTTGAAGAGGAAATACAAATAGGGAGCAAACCTGGATTTTGTCACAGCTCACAGATCAACAAAACCTGTAAGGGCTAGCATTGTTTACTGCAGGTAGTATTTTCAAGTTGAAATGATAAATTCCACTTATTAGTCACCTACTGGAACATAACCATGCTGATATACATAGAAACTTTGGTTTCAAGCTCACATAGGTGGAAAAAAGCTTTTTTTTCCTAGTTCTGAATTATTTAAATATCACCAGAAGAAAAAAAGAAAACATTCAGAAAATAAAGTGTGCATTTCTAAGAAAATATGTATTAAAATTCCTTCTGAGCACATATTTGTATTAACGATCCTTTTTCTGGTACAAAATGCAACAAAAAAGAAAAAATTAATATTACCTTATGGTAACTGCCTGACCAATATTAGTCATAGCTGATGTCATTATTTCAGTAGTAAGGCTTTCAGCAAAACTGACTCCGTCTTGTCCAATACCACTGTCAGCTGTCAGACTTGTGTAACTCAGCTCTCTTTCTGCTTTCTCTATGGCCGCAGTAGCCCCCTTGTCCGAAAACACTGTCCTCTGTTCTACATCAACGTGAATTTTGGGAATATCAAGCTGAAACGCTCTTGAATTCTGACAGGCACCACCCAATCCAGAATGAAGTAAATGCCTCACTGGAATGAAGGATTCTTGTGCAGGCAGACGATGAGACATACTTTCTGTACAGTACCGATGTTCTTTCATACTGCAGCATCTACAGACAGTTCCAGAAAAAGGAGACAGTTTCTCAGTATATGAGAGCTTATCGCCACTTTTTCTGTTTTCAGCCACACGGAGAATAGCCGACTCTAAACTCATTTCTAGAGTATCATCTGCTACTTTTCTAGCATATTGTTCTATAGCTTGAATTATGCCTTCAGTGTAGCCATTTTCATTTATACTACCTGTACTATGATACAGTTTATGATCTCGGGAGAAAGGAAGAAATGTCCTAGAAAGTCTTGTTTTAATGAGATCCCCCGTGAGTTCATCAAATTCAGTCTTTTTATATAGACAGGAATCTGTTAGAGACTTCGGCAAAGACGTTCCCGACATTTTCAGTTTCTTCCTGACATCAGAAGTGATACTGTGAGCAAGGGATCCTGAAAAATGCAACAACTCGGTACATTCTGTTCTCTGTGTGCCAAAACTCCTTTCATACATTTGGCCTTCACAGTGATGAATGCTGCTTTTCACTGGCTGTACTGCATCTTTATTCACTGCTTTGATCAGCTCCAGCTTACCATTTACCTGTGCATTTTGCCCAGGACATGTCTTTCTGTTATATCGCAATTTGGTTTTTCTAGCAGCTTGCTGCAAGCCCGATTTTATAGACCTGTAAGCAAGTCTGCTAGCATACTGATCCATTAACAGCTCAGCACTACCACCTTCTCTTTTCAAAACTCGAATGACGTGATCTGCATATTCGTCAGTCACACTTTCACAGCTCGGGTACTTGGAAGTCAAACCTGTCATGCCCGAACCTTGTGGTAAAGAAAGTACAGATGAACCTCTCTCCCCAAGCCACTGGTCCTGCACTGGACCAAACCCTTCTTTTGAACTACCATCTTTATCGCCTTTTCTCAGATAAAAGCAATCCACTTGACAGTTAACCCGCTTCAATCTCAACAGTTTACAATGCTTTGATTTCACTACTTTCTTGGCCTCGTTGATGACTTTTCCTGCCATATCACCTGCATAATTCCATAAAGAATTGCATGTCTCTTCTGGGATATTTATAAATGCAGTATATCCACATATTTTCTTTTGCATACCTAACTGAAACTGCCTACCAGCATCTCTTTCATTTGTTTTACCATCTAAACGGGAAGCAGCCATTTCAGTCGCTATCGAAACTATATGGCTAGCTAAACAATCGGCATACTGAATTGTTTTTTCCAAATGCTCCCCTTTCTCAACAGGTATTAGAGAATGATCTTCATCTTCACTACTTTCCACTTCTTCAGAAAGGGACCGCATGAGTTTCAGCATAAATTCCTCATTTTCCAAAGAGTCATGTTCCGTTTCAGAAAAATCAGTAATGGATGGATTGTAGGGTGTAGAAGGTGGTGTTGCAGGTGCAAATTCCTTTGCTAATTCTCCCTTGAGTTTCTTTGACAGTTTTCTTAGGTTCCTTTCCGAAGTACCTTCACATGGCACTAAAGGAGTTGGTGGGGGTGTATTGGGCATTAAACAGGTATTTCCATGTTTGAAACTTGATTTTTCTTCCATCTGCAAAACACCTTCACTGCCAAACATCACTGAAGAAAAGCTATTTGCATGCAGAAAACAATCAGCCTGCCTGTAATTCAAAGCTCCTGCTGATAGTTTCTGGGTATCTTTTTTTTTTGAAGGCTTGTTTAAGCACGTTATTGAACAGCTTCCCATGTCAGTACAGTCCTCTAGAACATGCTTCGCAAAAGTCACAGTGGAACAAGGAGGTGGTGATTTTGAGGAAAACCTATGTCCTTTTTGTTCCTGCCAACAATCTTTAGATTCTGAAAAACACTGAACAGAATGAGTTGGAGTAAGAAATTTACATGGATTATTCAAAGGCAACTGTTGTTGTTCCACGATTATAGAAACATTACTTTGCTTCTCAGCCTCTTGCTTCTTTATCACACACTGTTCTTTTCGATTGGTATCTCCGTAGGTCTGTGAGCTCATATTACATGTTAAATTCTCACTAGTGTTACATAACACAGTTTTACTTTCATCCACAGATTGTTTTACGACATACTTGGCCAAATGATCCGCAAACATATTCTTGGGGAAGTCTTCACCAATACCTTGCACATAAGGTTTTTTATCTATTATTTTTCTTGTTAAAAAATCTGTATACTCTTCTACTGCTTTTGTTACTCTAGATGAGGTTATGGCTTCATAAGCTTCATTCACTATCATATCTACCATAGTTCCAGAGAAAGTATTAATGCCTTTTGACCCACTTGTTAATTCTGAACTACTGTTTATTCCAGATCTGTTATTTGTTAGTTTGGTATCATTTTGGTTACAAAAGATTGATGGAGCACCTTCAGTACTTGGACTGTGATCTGAAGTTAGATATATATTTCTGAAAGAAGAGACTTCCTCCTCTCTCTTTCTGCTTGTGAAAAATGGATGAGTGGAGTCTTTGAATACCTTCATATTGTCATCAGCATTTGGAATACTGGATACTTTTGCTTTGTAAGCATCAGAGGAAACCTGTTGTTGACAAAGAGCTCTTCCAGCTAAGGGCACAGGTATTGAACTTACAAAACCAGAGGTGCAAAACAGAGCTTGCTGTACTGTATATTCCTTCTTGGAATCTTGGATTGGCTTTAGTCCTATCCTATCATTAAAATTAGGAAAAACTGTGGAAGTCTGTGTTGACTCTAACATACTTTCTGCACTTACATATTTAATATTGTCCATGGAAACACTAATGGCTGCTTGTGTTGTGAAGGTCACATCAACCTGAGATAGTTCAATAAATGCCTCCTGAATGACAGATTCAGACAAATCTCGGGCATAGGATCTTACCACTTTGTTTTCGTAATCAAATGATGAAGGCTGTGAAGCTGTAGGTGTTGATGGATATGAGAACTGGCATACTTCCATGATTCCTTCAAAAACAAGTTCTTCAGCAAGGTCTGCTGCAAACCGTGCAACGGTGTTGGTAAATATTTGTTTCTTTACGTGACACAGTTCTTTCAAAGCAGCAGTTATAGCTTCACTCACCAAAAAGTTTGCTATCCCATTAATGGCACGCTGCTTCAGGGAGATTGCTCTACGTCTTCCAATCTCATAAAAAGCCATCTGAAAGACTGAAGAAGTCAACCTAGCAGCCAAATGACAGAGTGCATTGGTGCATGAAGAAACACCTTTTTGAAGGTCTTTAAATGCACTGCCAAAACTTTTTTCAACCAATTCAGCTGCAAATTTCTGAATGCTATCTCTAATCATAAGTGACTTATGTTTAGATTTTGCTTGTTTATCTGGTTCCTTACTAGTTTTCATTTTGAGATCTGCAGCTTGCCTTTTTTTCTCTTTCAAAGCAATCCTTTTGTGCTTCGAATCATTTCCTGCACATACTTTTTCTGATGAGGGCTCAGAAGAAAAAACAGAACCAAGTATATCAAATGAAACACTATCAGCATATGCTGAGTAACTATTATAAACTGCATCATGGTGATTTTGACCTGTCCTATCTCCACCAAGATTACTTCGACACAAACATTCGGAAGAACCACAGCTCCCTAGTGGACTGAAAGCTGACGTTCTAATAGGGCTGAAGAAGCCTCCATTCTCTTCCCCTGATGTTTTAACTGGGCGAGGGGAATCCGGGACCTCAAAGATGCTGCTGTACGGTGATTCTGGCTTACGAGGAGTTGGTTTCTTTACATTGGCTGGGAGAGTCGGACGATCAAAATTGAATTTCTGAGGATTCATTGTAATGCTTGCAGAAGACAATTTTTCATGTGCAGTCCTCCTTTTCTGGGAGGGACTCCCTAGGATGGGATCCCTAATAATTTTACAAGAGTTTTCCAAGGCTTGCTCCAGCTCATCAAATTGATCAAAACTATCAAAAAATTCACTTACTTCTGAGTCTGAATCCTCTATACCATCTTTCACTACTGGAATTTTTGGCAGCTGAAGTTTTGCCTTTAAGCTTTTTTGATACCCTTCTTCATCTAAGAAGATGATGGGACTTGGGCTGGAGCAGTCTGACTCAGAGGATTCAGCTGGAGAGGAAGAAAACAATGTTTTACGTAAAAAATTAACACCTTGATCAGAAGGATTATATGGCTTATAGAAACTCCTCTGTATCCAAGGATCAGCAATTGAGGTTGTTACTGAATTCTTTACTGAGGACAGTTCCTTAAGTCCCAAAATATCAATCAAAGTAGAAGATCTGGCAGATGACTTTCGATGCGCAGAACCTACAGGGATCTTTGAGTCAACAGCTTCTAAACATTGAGCAGGGATGGTCTGTGAAGCAGCATCTCGATGGTTTTGAGAAGCAAAGCTGTATGCATCTGAACAAAAGAAAAAAAAAGGTAAAAAAAGATTGCTTCAAAATCAAGAACTTCCACAAAACTGCAGAAAACAGGGTAGATTTTAATGGCAACTGTTGGGTTCATTATTGTTGCAAAATGCTAGCTTATCTTTCATGATTAAAGCAACCTTTCATTTTCTTCAAATCCTATTACGCAAATTAATGTATTTTTAGCATACAAAGTAGAATAAGATTCTATTTGATATACATATGACACTGATATTAGAATCTTTCGTTTATGAGTTGGTAAACTGTGGGAAAAGAGCAAAAAATTAATTTTTCAATTGCCCAATACCCTTTTACAAAACATCATTAATTTCATTTACGTTACACTATTCATTTACATTTACTTTCACATTAAATCCCAACAGCCTAAATTTCAAATACCAATTTCTACAAGGATACAGCGTGCAAGAACTTACCAGCACTTTGTATCTTTGAAGGTTCATCTTCATCTAAGTGTTCAAAAGCAGTAACAAAATCATCCTCAATTGAAGAAACTGAGTGATTAGTGTCATCATCTTCTCCATGGGATGTCTCTGATTGATGTTTTTGTGAAGAGTTTATTTCTACTGCATATCTTATGCCTGTGGTATACTTGCTCAGCAAGGTAAATATATAATCAACTTTGATCCTTGGGAATGAAGGAGAGAGTCTCACCACACAAAACACTTCAGCAAGTTGATTCTTGAAAAAGAGAGCAACAAGAAAACAAATATAGCAATCTTAGAACAATTCAATTGTCAGGAGTAGCAAGGGATTTCTTCAATGCATTTTTTATGAAGAGTAAATAATTCAGAAATACTTTAAATATAAGAAAATTAATTAAACCGTTTGTGTAGAGTGACAGTTAGAATCACCCATTTTCATAACTTCTGCATTCTCAATATTTCACTGCAACAATGTAACACAACTCTGATAATAGGTTTCCAAGAATCTATTAAAGAACGCATGTGAAAATTCGTAGAGGAAGACAGTATTTCTTCTGCACGTTTATGCTGAATAGTACTTCAGTTTATAGGATATTTGTTTCTTCAAGGTATTTTTTATCTTATATGCAACATTTGTAATTGGAAAGAATATAATTACCTTGGCAATAATGGGAACAGTATCAAAATAAAAATAATGGAAATTACATCATTAACAGCATTTACAATTGTAATTTTTTTTTTTGTAAGACAGGAGTCCACTGGACATTCACGTAATTTTTGGCATCTCTGTTTCAAAAAGAAAAGTCTGCTGAAGATGAAAGCTGTATCTGAGCAGAGCAGAGCAGAGATGGGTAACTTGCCAAATTTCATATTCTTTCCAAATTGGCAGTGAAAGGGACTACAGCCTAGCAGAAACATGGGATCAACACCATAATTAAATATTTGTTGAATATTTTCTGTAAACAATACAGCACCATTTATTCTGTTATTTTCTGACATCCATTTTCATGGAATCACAGAAATATAACATTAATACTACTGTGGCTAAGATGGCCTGAAATCAAAAGCAAGACAAGGTGTGATATGACTGAACTCTTTAGGAGGTGAAATACAATGCTTCTGACATGCAAGAAGACAGAAAAATTTTACCTGATGTTTCATGACAAAAGGTTTTGCCAAGGTTTTCTTTACATCTTTTAGAAATATAGCCTCGTTTTCTTTTAGTTTGCGCAACTGGAGCGATTTCAGAACATCTGGAAGCTCTACAGAAACAGCTGACAACTCCTGATTTAAATATACAAACACATTGAGAATATCAAGTAAAAAAAATAACTTGTAAATAACAATGGGTTTGATCTCATATCCCCCCTAAATAGTAACAGCTACTAATTTTGGTAACGTTTTTTTTGATTCCCTATTTCTTGCTCCATCCCCCACTTATTCGCTCTAACTGTGGTGTAAAGCTCGTGTAAACAAGCTTTAATGCAGTCCATACTTGGAAGATGCTTAGAAGTCATAGAGGAGAATCCTGTAAGTGCTGAAAAGCAGCTGCACATCCTACAAACTACACAACTACAAACACTGACTTCAGCTAATAATGGTTCTCAGTGGATCTCTACAAGCTCTTGGTGTGCTTTATTGGAACAGTGTTCTAAGTCCCTATTACAAAAACAAGGACAAGGCATTTCTTAAAGCAAGACCTTGGATAACCTTTAGATTTACCTAATATAGAAGAAGCCTGTGAAAGATTTATAGGGTTTTTTTCAACAGCCCAAACACTGCTGATCCCTATGGTTCAAAGCAAATCTCCATAAACGTACTCTGCCCAATTTTCTTTAAATTCCATCCAATTATAGACAATCAAACAGTTCTTATTCATCCTTGAAAGAATGTCTAGTGTTATTATGATCTGATTAACAGGAATACTGATATAAGTTGGAAGACAAACGGATTCAGAGTTTCTTTATTCATTTTTAAACATCAGTAAACTATTACAGCAACCTCTATCTACTAGGATCTAGACAGAGTAGAAGTGTGGAATTGCACTGTGAAGATGCATGTTATGAATTATACTGATGTGTAAGTTGTAAGGAAGACTAAATCCTTAGCTTATGAAAATCACACATTATAATCCTCCCCGTTTGCTACACTCCACCTTTTAAAATAATATTTCCGGATCTAATTCTCCAGAACATTATCTTAAGGCATAGCCATAATACAGACTCCTGAGCCCCCCACCAGCAATTCACAGCTAGCAGTCAGTTCAATAAAGTTTTAGCTTCACACATGCAACCCTACCATATGAATAAGCACAACTCAACTAAGGAGAAGATTACAAACCAAAATACTGATACACACAAGTTTGTAACAACAACAACAAAACCCAAACCAAAAAAGCACCCACAAAAACCCAAAACCAAACGAGACCCTTCCCACTTAAATACCTCCCCCAGTCAATCATCCCCTTCTGCCGCATTTAAATAAGTTGTTCCAGACCATCCTAACACAAAGACTGACCCAGGTAATATTGTAAATACATACAAAACACCAATTATAATATTAAAATAATTATTTCCAAGCTTTCAATGACATTTGAAACTTAGGCTTTTACATACTCAAGATACATCTGTTTCATTTCTCAAACACCAAAATTCCTCAATTTAAAAAACTAGGTACTACTTAGAAGAAAGCACCAGCTACTATTTTCCAATATAGACAGATATATATTGTACCTGCAAGCGAGCAGTACCCATCTCTTCAGCAAAACCTATAAATGTAATCTGTAAAATAAATACATTAGTATAGTTAAGTACAGAAAAGAACTTTTGTGTTTTCTGCAGATATTTAAGAGCTAAAAATTCAGCAGACTGTAACAAAGTTTCATTCCACTGCCACAATAACCATAACTTAGGGCAGCATAGTTTGCTCAAACAGTAGCACACAGTTTTTCATAAAGACTAGTAATCCTATACTATTTGACTTGTGAAAGGTCAGGCCAGGCTGAAGAGCATACACAACGTTTAAAACCCACTATACAGAAATTTTTCTAGTGACTGGTACATACAGAGCAACACATACCAACCTCATTACATCTGTTAAAATAAACACAATTTTGCAAAAATCAGTGCTCATCTGTCCTTGCTTCAGGCTGGGCACATGTAAAACAGTTCCAGTCTGAAATCTGTCCATACTAAAATAAACTGTTACACATTTGCATATACTAAAGAAAGTGTAAAGCCAACACATTATACAATTTGCCATGTAAATTGATTAGCCTAAGGCCAAAACACAACAGGATTACTGAAGCCACATGTTTGCACGCCATATCCAAGTAGACAAACCTTTAACTTCATTTCAAACATCAGATTTCCTCAGTTCTCACTTAGTATTTCCCTAACAACAAATCAATAGGGTATCTGCATGCTCCAAAAAATCCCAAGGCATTTATTTTCAAAACACGGCTGTCAGAAAACAAACGTTGTTTCCATTTTGTAGATATGGAATAAAGCACAAAGACTAAATACTTTCACTGATGTTTGAAATTAGTTTCATATGGTTTAGGTTCCATTATTTCAGAGCACTACGAAACAGACTGAATTTTATGTATTAAAGCCACAGCTCATAAATATGTAGCAACTACTCCCGTTACTCCAAAGAACATCACTATGTTTACGTTAATTTATTATTAACTGGTTCAGCTACCTGCCTGTATATACACAGAATCTCTGAGAATTACAGAGCTAGAAAAAGAAATAGCTGAAAAACAATTCTATTTGAACTGTATTTGTGTTTTGAATATGTTCTTTCGAAGTGTGACAAAAAAAAAAACCTCAAACTTTCTTTTAAACTGGAATCATACTATGAAAAATTCTGATGTCTTTATTTCAGAGAGTCTCATGCTGGGAAAAAGATCTCATGCCCCCAGAAAACATCTTCCCACATACATCCACTCATGTCAGCTATGACAACATCATAAACGAAACAATGCTTCACAGCAGCATTCCAAATCGCTCCAGACAAATTACACATCTCCACCACTGTATTCACTGCGTTAACTGTGAAACAATCCTGTTTGAGCAATATTACCTTTCAACTCCTACATCTTCTCTTCAACTGCTAAATAATTCATCTGCACAGTATCTTCAAGACACTTTTCAGCTTCTAAGTCTTTTTATCTCTACAGCAGTACCTACAATGTGAATTGAATTCCTCCACAGAAGCAGCAAAATATCAAACAATTTAAAGGACTTGGGGAAAAAAACTTAGTTCTCTGAAGAACATTTTGAGAGGCTTTAGAGTTTATTGCTTTTGGGGGTTTTTTGGCAGTTTTGTTTGGTACTTTTAACAGATGTCTTCTTACATGCCCCTTCCTCTTCCTCAAGATAATGATTCCAACCCTTCCCTGCTCTCATGGGATAATTCACTGTGCAAGACAGGGCAGTATGCAGGAGTAACAGCTTCACACAAATGAAGAACAGTATGTACACTGAGTGGTCAGCAGACTGCTGTCAAAAAGACCACACCCCTACTGAGTTTGCCTATTTTTGCCTCAATGATGATACTAATTTAGATTTCTTTATTGTGCCAATTTTCACAGAAAAATAATCACCTTTTAATACCTTGAACATGTCTGAAGTTAGTACACCAATTCAAAAGCTGTTGGGGAGTAGGTCAGAGAAATAAAAAGGTCATTAGTAACACAAGACATTTTTTTAAACCAAAAATAGTGTATGAGATGCCATATTTGAAGGTCATCATAAGCCATGAGTACAGAGGAAATGGATTAAAATGGTACAGGAAAACCTAAATACTGGTTTGCTGAAGTCTGAATAATTATCTTTGCAGTCCTAATAATATTCCATTAACATCATTCTCCACATCCTTCCTATATTTCCATAAGGAAAAAATACCTGTTCTGTGGCAGGTTGTTGACCGTCTTACACTTCAACCAGTGGGCTCTTAATTGCTTGCTCTAATAAGGTGGTTAATATAGTCAGCTATTTTTCTCTATAGGGACCATCAGTGCAGGCATATAAAACATAACTGACATATAGCTGGCAACACAAGACAAAAAAATGCTTCATAGGTTTCTAAAGCATGGTCCATCTAGTCAGATACAGACAAGGTTTTGCCATAGGTTTTTTGGGTTTTTTTGCCAAGGTTTTTCTGCACAGCTCTTCTTCTTTACCTTAATCTGACACAGCTTTTCATCTTTCACAAATTTAGCTTCCTGCCTGCTCCCCAAACATTCATAGAGTCACAACCCCTGACTGTATCCAATCACAAAATCCCTGGTGTTATCCAGGCAATCCTAATTCCTCTCTGCCAGACACACAATCTGCCTCTTGCCTTCCTCCTGCTACTCCTTATGCTATTACCTAACAGTCTCCCTAACCACTTCCTGAGTTGTCTTTCCTTCATTTCTCCCTGTCTCAGCTCCTCTGCATGGCAAGTTTAAGTCATCCTCTCCTTCTCTAAGCTCCTTGTCAAGCCTGTCAACTACTAATTAGAAGTCTTGAAAAACACTTATACAAGTTACACAGTACACATTGCTTCTTACCTTTTTTCTTTTCCCTTTGGAAAAGTTGCTGTTAGTCTTGTAACTCAAACAGTTCTAGTAATTCCTCTTTACAACTTGAGATTTACCTAGACAGTCCTGCATTCTGTTCAGGTCTACTTCTCCCCAGACCTTGTCCAGCTTTCAGTCCACCTGTATTCACGTAAGACAAGTCTAGATCCGCAATTTTAAGCTTCAGCTTTTACTGCTAAGCACAGGGCAAACGAGAAATCACTTTAAATTTTATCTTCAGACCTGGATCAAAATGTTCTGCCACTTTGTTAGGATACCATCCACACAACTTTGATCACAGCAATGCTCGCAAATGCAGTACCACCCAAGTCATCTATTTACACATTTTGGTTTTCTAGTTTCACAAATGCTCCAAAGCAGAGAAATGTCATCTTGAAATGTCACAGCTTAAGACTACAGTGATTGAATTCAAGAATGACAATACAGGGTACAGATTTTACAGCCAGTAACTTGAATCATTGTTCCTGTTTACTATCCTGCAACTTCCCATACTGTTTCAAGTGAAACTGTTTTCTATCATAGCCACAAAAATATATATAAATGGTAACATTATGCCAAACCTCAATAAAATTATCTTCTTCTTCCCGATTTAGGCATTCCTCTGCTGATACCTTGCATAACTCTTTCCTGCTGTGTAGCAGTGACTTCATAGAGTGCAGTATACCTTCACCAAAACTCTGAAAAATAATTACAAGGAAAATTTAAAAAAAAAAAATACATTTTCAGTTTCGGAAACATGGTCTCTCCCCTGTCCCCCATAGGCTTCCCTACTCTAATTAGTATTTCAAATTACTTTGTATATAAATCATCAGGTTTGAAGTTTAAATTCACTTTAGGATATGGAACTGAAACAGGTAAGTTGTTTTCTTCAAGCAATATTTTTATTCCAAAATAGGTTCTGCATTTAAAAAAAAAAAAAGAAAAAAGATAAGAACACACAGACTTGGAAAAAAAAAACAGATGAATCCAAGAAGAAACCCAAACACCATCTACTCCTTGCATTGAAGCCTATATATGGAATTTCTTCAACAGCTTTTCCTTAAATAAGACGAAAAGCAATTTTAGCCAAGAAAAGTCATGCAGGTGGCTTCAAAAGTCACAGGGGAAGAAAACAAACAAGCAAACAAAAAAACCCAAGAAAATCCACACACATTCTTCCCCATTCTGTGAAAGATACGAAACAACTGTAACTTAATTCCATGTAAACACTTCTTGTAATATTTCTTATAATAACACTTATGGTGACATGCAAGCATCCACAGAGGGCTAAAAAAGGCTAAAGAATCCAAGACTTTCTCCTAGCGTAACAAAGTGCAGAAGGCAAATAGGACGACAGAATAACAACAAAACTGCTTCGCTCAGCTAATAAAAGAGGCAATATCCTCGCAATTGTTTTAGGAAGTCAGTAATTTTTTTTTTAAATTTAAAACTGTCATCTTCTCTAGCAAGTTGTAAGGTTAAGAAGACAAATAAGATCATCATATGGTTAAAAATTGTTAATCCATTTAATTATTCTCTAAAAGATTACCCTGTTGAAAAATGACGTGAGAAATCACTGTGTCCAACTTATGACAAGGTATGTCAAATCTGCACAGCTTCTCAAACAATAGCAGAAGTGCTAGATAAGCAAATTTAGTCAGAGAACGTTACGCCCTTCTGATACTCCCGAAACAAAAGCAATCCCTTTATATAAAAGGTGATCTTACATATTGCAGTTAAACCTCAAGAAAGATTTTATTTTTTCCCTGTATAAAAAGCAGTATCAAGTACTACTACATAGGAAGTCAAAGTATTAGAGCAGGGCCAGTGTCACCATTCTTGTGCTCATGGCAACACAAAATTAGGAAAGCATTTCTAGAATGAACAGAAAAAAGCAAATCAGAACATCAGGATCCTTGAAATTACCAAAATATATTTCAGAATGTTAGCAAACAAGGCTCAGACTACCAACCTGACAGTCAAGGCCAAGTGACGCTAAAGAAGTCAAAGCAGTAACTGTTATAGAAAAGCTACAGCTGAACTATTTTAAAAAGCACTTTATTGGTTCATTTGAAATAAATTAATGAAGTATTCGCCAAATTTCCATTTTTATCTATTCTCTTGCCCCTACATGTTTAGTTGTAATTTACTTCCACGGTTCAGTAATGTATCTTTGTACTTTCCAAAGTATGCTGCCAGTGTCTTTCTCTGATTCTCTGGATCTTCCAAATTTACAGGTGGCTACAATATTACTCAAAGACTGCTCCCCAGCAATTCCTTCATTCATCTTGTACAAAAGTAATTTGCATAATTAGGGGGGAAAAAAAAGTCGTATGTCGTGACCTGCTAATTTTCTGCAAGCCAACAGTGCTCCAGTTTGAGAAGGGCTCATTGTTATTCTCTAGTTGGGTTTTCTAAAGCTACAAACTATTACATACATCTTATTTATAAGCAAGTACTGTTCCCTAGTTTTACATCTGAAAGGCAGAATAGGTAACTATGAACCAGAGAATGGTATGAGGAACTACTGAGGTGAAGCAAAATTCAACATTTTGGAGAATATTAATTTGAAGTGGGAGAAGAAGAAAGATGAAACAAATGTAAAAATTTCCCTAAGGTCTGGAAGAACCAGCATACAAGACTATATGCAGGTCTGGTGGCCCATGGTAGCAGTATGTAACCAAAGAAATAAAATATCATATTTAAAATGAGGAGCAAGTGATGCATGCTTTTCAGATCATATTAACAAATATAAAAAAGTTCAGAATGTGGAAATAGTAAAGATATGGAAATTAACATGCAAAACACATACACATAGAAAAAATCTCACTTATCTGTGACTTTCGTAGATTATTTAGATTAAAGTATATGAAGAGTTAACAAAACCAGATAAAGACAGAGTTTACTAAAAGAGCTGGTTTTGGAAAAGAAGACTTTGCCTGAATAGAGACAATACAGTGATGATTTTGAGAATAGCTGATGTAGGTCAGTAACCAACTTCCTCAAAATTTATCCTGAGACTGATGTCAAGCACCATCATCATTAATACATTTAATGAGGAAAAAAAAGTAAATATGAGATGAAAACTGATGATAATTGAAGTAAGCAGGTGTCATCAGCTAAGAAGAAGAATATCATACAGGAACAACCTGCCCAACGTGAGAGTGTTTTAAAATGCAACCATAGGAAGCATAAAGTTATGTCCTCAAAAACTAAAAGCAAGCTTTAAAATAGAATTGCAAATTCACAAGCTGGGAAATAAAAGATCTGAGTTGACTTCTCGATCGTGGTATAGCAATGAATGATCAATATGATACAGCACTGAAAATAGCAAATGTGCATCCTTCAGTGAAAGAACTGACATCAGTCACTGAGAAGGACATCCTGTGTAATTGCACATACAGTATTATCCACATGTAAAAAGAAGATTAACTCACAACAAGCACAGAAAGTAGGACTATGAAGGATAATCACTGGAATCCAGAGGCTTTCATACAAAAGCAGACTAAAACCTTAGTTTACACAGTTTCCATAAACCAAGGCTAACAGAGGACATAATTGTAAAAAAAATCATAAGGGTGAATATCAGCAAAAGAAAATAAATTATTTAAGCGGAAGAATAATGACATCCACGAACAAACAGGTATAAATTTGCGGCTGAGTAGCTTCAGCCTGAAATTCGTAAGATTCTTAGCTATTACCGCAGTGTGGTTCAGAAAGACTTAAAACCAGCAGTAGGTTTGGTGGGAGGGTTAAACTCCCCTCATTAACTGAGAGACTATATTTAATAACTTATTCATATTCTTATCCCTATCAAAGTTGTGCTTGTGACAGGAGAGGACTTGACTCAATTTCAGGGAAATCCTCCTATCAGACAATATAAGCAGGTTCTCTCACAATCCCATACCAGGAGACATGCATCTACATTAAAAACTGAAAACTAGCAAGTTCCCAAGACTATAAGCTCAGTTTAGGTTAAGGACAAGAGGTCATCTTCAGCAAAAGTAGGTAATTTGTTTTAATAAATAGTACAACTACTTCCAATGTACATTGACATATGGGCAAAAACCACCCAAGCAATATATAAGGCTCTACTTGCTAAGCCTGTGTACTCCTTTCTCACAGAAATTCTAAAGTCATATCTTGCAAGAAGTCTTGAGCACAGATTCAAAGTTACTAAGTTATGTCAGGGGAAAAACGCAAATATCATCAACGTGCTGAGACCTGAACAGTGAAAATCCTTGTCACACCTCTAGCTCAACTGAGCAATTCAAAGATTTGCATTGTCCTCTTCGCAAATCAAGAAGTCATTATCTACAGATCCTTCACAGTACACTAGAGCAAATTCTACAGTGTTTGGTCTCATTAAGTGTTTTAAACAACTGCTCTCTAACATTTCAAACAACCTGTAAGATGCCACAATCTCTAAAGAAATTAAGTTGGGTGCTGGAGAGTCATGCTTACTCTTCTCTTAGAGCAACAAAGTTCTTCCTGATTTCATCATGTGCTGTAAGATTTTAATGGACTGAATATTTTGAGGCTGTAAGATTTTAATGGACTGAATATTTTGAGGCAATTTTTTAAAAATAGAAACTTGGGCTTTAAATGTGCACACCACAACTTTGCACTGACTTTCAAGACCTATTACTGCAACAATTCCTATTAACTATGACAAAGTATTACAAAGAGGACAGGAATCAGACCGCAATGTTCTGTGAATCAACAGAAGATGAAACACAGTGCAATTCTGACCACCCTACTGCCTGGCTCTACGAGAGAGAAAGTTCCACACTATAATCTGAACAGCCACTTCTCAGGGAAACATCAAGAGGCAGTGACAGAAGAAAACATTAGAGCATGGTTGTGTGAAAATGTAGAATTCTGCAAGACACTTGAGAAGTGTCAAATTCACATTCCTAGAACCACGCAGTCCAGAATGCTTAATGGCAATTAGAGCAGTTCACAGAGCTAATATTTTAGGCAACTATCAGAATCAGTGAGGAATCACTGGTCACCGTCATTATTAGAAAGATGTTTCTGTAACCCATAAGTTTAAAAACATGGGGGTGATGGGGAGGGTGGTATTTGTTTTGTTTTGTAAACTGAAGCAGAAAAACAAATAAAGAACAGATTTAAAAAGTCCTTTAAGAATGCAAAATTACTTAACTGTAATTAAAGAACTCTTTGAGCTGGAAAGTTCTCATAAACCAATAAAATAGAAGGTTTTATACTGTGTGTCTTTAAGTGAAAAGAATATCACCCATAATTACGAACTGCTTAATATGTCTGTTAACATTCTGTGTCAGGACCTGGAACAACTGACTGTCTCATAATACTTTCCTTTGCGTTCAAATAATTTCTACAGGACACATACCACAGACACTGTTTCCTTAAAAAACCAAAATCTGCTTATGAAATAGAATAATGCAATTTTCATGTGACAAGATGCCTCCTTGCTCAGTTTCTCCTCCTACCATTGCAGCAATTTGCAAATAAAAAAGTTATTAGTAACCAGGAAAGACCTATGAACTCACCTCTGTTCACCTACCTTGAGAAATACAATTGGATAAATAAATTTTTTCCTTTAGGATAAACTGCAACTTTTATTTAAATAAGCACTTACATAAATTGCAAAAAAATTTGAGGAAGAGTATTTATGTTCCCCAAGCTAAAGTGACAAAATTTAAAAGAATAAATAAATAAATATTATTGAAATAAAAAAAAAAAAACCACTCATATCTTTTGTAAGTGCTAGATATATTTTCTTTTTCACCTAGGCAGTTTCTAAATGTTTCTGTAAACAGAAGGGTAAACCAGACAAGAAACCAAGATCTAAAGATACAGATATTACCAGGAAGCCCTAACAAAGACTTCACAGAACTCAATGAAGACTATATGTTTGTATTTTAATTTATTACATATAAAATCAAAAAATCTGTTCTAAAATAAAAGCTATCTTTCAATAAACAGGGCAATGTCTAGGAAACTAATGCATCATGATTTCATCATGTCACCTTGAAAGACAAAAGCATGCACCTCTTCCTTAAATTATGCTCTCTCCCAGTTTAATTACACTAAATATGCCAAAGCAAAGGCAATTTCTTTGCCTCCTTGAAATGTCAGACAACCACAATTAAAACATACTAACGAAAAACCTCATACTCAAAATACCTCAACCAAACCAGTTCATTTGCTTCATTAATAGGCCGAAAAGCTCTAAAATATTTTTTTATTTAAATACAGATAATTACCTTTTTCACAGATATTCTTGGTTTCATTCGATTGCCCTGAGCTCTGGCATACATGTCCATGATCTTACCAGTCTTAGTATTTGATGAAAGAAGTCAGCTCACAAACACCTACAAAAAACAATTACATTCTATTATTTTATATTTATTCATTTAGTTTGTATCCACTTTGAAAATGCAAGTAGACAAAACAAGAACCAATAATAAAAACCAATTAAAAAGCATTTTAAAACTGAGAAAGATTAAACAGTACACCATCCATACTGACAGTTTCCTTTAAAAAGTACTGCCTTAACGACCAGACAGGAAATACAGAACACACACCTTGCAGTAAGTTACATAGTTCAACTAGATTTCAAGGCTGCGTGGGGGTGGGGAGGAGCATTACATTAAATAATGTTTCACCATCACTGATACTCTTGAAAGTCTATCAGCAGATTCCTGTACCTACTATGTGCTGGAACTACCCTTCAACAATCTTGAGAGGCAAATGTACAACTCACCCACTCAACCACCTGGCCTAGTCATTTCTGTCAACTGAAGGTACTACAGGCTAACACGGATCAACACTCAGTTCTCTGGCCCTGCTCTGGGCAGTTGTCTTTGCTGGCAAAACACAGCAGACTAAAGCTGAATTTACCAGCACTTCAATGAAGTACGTCACAAGAGTTTCTGCTCGAGTCAGCTGCCCTTATTGATCTTAAGTCTAGTTCTAACAACAAGAACATAAAAAAAAGCTACGAAATGAAAACATTTTTTTCAAGTTTCCCTCTTCAAGCAGTAACAATGAGTCTAATTTGTTTCATTCATCTCTACATCCCCCAAAACAGGCAATAAATACAGGGAGTTATTAAAGACAGAAAGTATGTGCTGGGCTTTTAAGTTCTGTGGAAGTTTTAATAATTCAGCTTTTCTCATAGTCACACAATTTAACTGGGAAAAAGAACTCCTAGACTGCCCAAAATAAACCAGGCAAGGAGCAAATGCATGTAAAAATGAAGGCTAAAAATAAAAAACACCAAGATAATCTGAGTATGGGTCTTCTTCGCACAACTGACCAGACAAGTTTTCTTGATCTTACTTCAAGCACATATTTACCCTTTATATGGGTTTGTTCTTTGGTATAAGTAACTTAAATAAGATTACCAGTGTCATCAAGTAACTGTATTCTTCGCCTTCCTCCACCGCAGCACCTCTTCAGTAAAACTTCCTCAAGAGGCTATTCTCTACAATAGCAAGAGATTATTATTAGGCACATCTATTGACATTTCACCTTGATTTCTGCTTTCCTTCACAAAAATGAACTTGACAGAATCTTAGGAAAAAAGTTACATTTATGCAAATTAACTGCAATATTTTAATCTCTGGAGCACAGCATCTCTCTTAACTGGATGTCTGGTTTGGAAAATTAAGCCAATGACATGAAGCAACTAGGCACACAGTAGATTATATACTATATATAAATATAATAAATACAAGTAAGAAACTCATTTCACAGTAAACTAAGGATGAAAGATTAAAAAACACAACAATTCTTCTGCTGAAACTCAATGTGTTTAAAAGAAAAAAAGCCACAGAACAGTATCAAGCAAGAAAAAGAAATCCAATTGTCCCTACTACTCTATCTTAAATGGCTAATCCGCTATAAATCTAACCATATTGGGGTAATACTCTTAGACACTCCTTGTCCTAAAAAAAGTCACCTATGGGAAAAGCTGGTTTTCCACATAGGATCAAGTACCTGTGTTCTACAATTTTGGACTGATCACTCCTTGCAGCTATTTTAACAAAGCCCAGCATAGTACACCATGGAGATGACTTTATAACCATGTTGGGTGCAGCATTTACTCAGGTACAGTAGTTTACAGTTACACTGCCTTCAGGCAGTACGTTAAGTATTCTATGTCATCTGCTACTAAACTCTAGAGACCCAAGAATCAACAGAACCTGCAGTGTCACCTACTCATGAAACCAACAGACTTGTAAATCACAGACTCAGAAAGATACCGGACAGGAAAAAATTGATCACACAAATAACTGATGAATATCCACATAAAGTTTAACCATCTCTACCTTTTTAGCAAGTTGGATCTCCGGAAGTGCACGCAGCATGTGCAACACACAGGAGGAGCTGGAACCCACTGTGCCGCTAGAAGGCTTAAACTTAGTTGCCAGTACTGAAACCTGGAGGGACAAATCCCATGGCTGGAGTGTGGCTATGGATGGCTACAGGCTGTTAAGAAGGGACAGGCTAGGAAGGAAGGGCTGAATTGTTGTCCTCTACAACAAGAAATGGATAGAACATGAAGATCTGTCTCTGAAGAACAGTCATGAGCAGGCTGAAAACTTATGGGCAAGAATTAAGAAACTGAGGTAACAAGGCAACCTTGTGGTTGAGGTCTACTACAGGCTGCCTGATCCAGGGGAGCCTGCTGACAAAGCCTTCCTGCTCCAGCTACAGGAGGCATCATGCTCACAGGCTATTGTCCTGAGGGGGGACTTCATCCCAACATCTACTCCAAAAGCAGCACAGCAAGCTATTCCAGGGGGAGACTACTGGAATGCATGGAGGATAACTTCTTAAGGTAGGTAACAGACAGCCCTACCAGAGGGGACACAACACCAGACCTGTTGGTCCAACCTAAGTGAGCTAATCAGTGATTAGAGATGAATCTAAGATTGGAGATGCCCTGGGCCACAGCAAACATGCACTGGTGGAGTTGCTGCCCTGATATGGGACAAGCAAAGACTAAGTTCAGGACTGTAAATTTTGGAAAAGCATAATTCCAGCTGCTCAAGGAGTTAGTCAATAGGGCCCCATGGAAACTGTCCTCAGACACATGGCGGAAGGAGACTTTCCACAGAGCACAAGAGCTACCAATCCCTGAGTGTAAGAAATCAGGAAAGGAAGGCATGAGACTGGCATTGCTGAGTTGAGAGCAAGGTAACACCAGCTGAGGTCAACCTAAAGAGCAAGAAGGAAATGCACAGGCAGTGGAAGCCGGGACAGGTATTCTGGGAAGAGTACAAAGATGCTGCACAGTTTTGCAGGGATGGGGGTCAGAAGGTCAAGGCAAAGCTAGAGCTGAACTTGGCAAGGGATGCAAAGAATAAGAAGGGCTTCTACAGGTATGAAGCCAGAAAAGAAAGGTCAAAGGAAGCGTGTCCCCACTGATGAACACAAGTGGCAAACCGGTAACAACAGGAGGACGTACTCAATACTTTCTTTGCTTTAGTCTTCACTGGCAATTTCTCTTCCTACACCTCTCCAGTGGATGGACAGGAAGAGCAAAGTCCCTCCCACTGCATGAGAAGATCAGGTTCGTGACCACCTGAGGAACCTGAATGTATGTAAGTCTATGGGATCTGTCAAGATGCTTTCCAGAGTCCTGAGAGAATTGGTTGATGCAGTTATTAAGTCACTCTCCATCATATCTGAAAAGTCATGGCAGTTAGGTGACTGGAAAATGGGAAACATTGTACCCATCTTAAAAAAGGTTAGAAAGGAGGATCCTTGAGACTACTGACCTGTCAGCCCCACCTCTGTGCCAGGGCACAAATCCTTCTAGAAACGTTGCTAAAGCACATGGAGGACAGGGAGGTGATTTAATGAAGCCAGTATAGCTTCACCAAGGTCCTGCCTGACCAACTTAGTGGTCTTCTATAATGGAGACAAGGGAAGAGCTACAGATGTCATCTATCTGGACTTCTGTAAAGCCTTTGACACAGTCCCCTCCAATATCCTTCTCTCCAAATTGGAGAGACATGGATTTGATGGGTGGAATGTTTAGGGTTGATTGGATGGGCCAATCCAGAGGAGAGCAGTCAACAGTTTAATGTCCAGATGAACACAGGCGACAAGTGGTGTCCCTCAGGGTTTCATAGTGGGATCAGTGTTATGTAATATTTTCATCAATGACATAGACAGTGCACCCTCCGCAAACTTGCAGATGACACCAAGCTGAGTGGTGTGGTTGATGTCCCTGAGGGATGGGATGCAACCCAGAGGGATCTGGATAAGCTCAAGCAGCAGACCCATGTGAACCTCATGAGGTTCAACAAGGCCACATGCAAGGTCCTATGCCTAGGCTAGGCAAGCTTCAAGTATTCATACAAGCTGCGGGATGAAAAGATTAAGAGCAGCCCTGAGAAGGAGTTGGGGGTGTTGGTGGACACTACAGTGGACATGAACTGGCTATGTGTGCTCACAGCCCAGAAAGCCAACTATATCCTTGGCTGCATCAAAAGCAGCATGGCCAGCAGGTCGAGGGAGGGGATTCTGCCCCTCTACTCTGCTCTGGTGAGACCCCACCTGGAATACTGCATCCAGCTCTGAGGTCCTCAGCACAGGAAAGACGTGGACCTGTTGGATTGGGTTCAGAGGAAGGTCACAAAAATGATCAGAGAGATGGAGCACTCTCCTATGAAGACAGGCTGAGGGAGTGGGAGTTGTTCAGCCTGGAGAAGGCTCTCAGGAGACCTTACAGCAGCCTTTCAACACTTAAAGGGGCTTATAAAAATAACAGGGACAAACTTCTTAGCAGGGCCTGCTGTAGTAGGACAAAGACAAATGGTTTTAAACTGAAAGAGGATAGATTCAGATTAGATATAAGAAATGTTTTACCATGAGGGTGGTAAGGCATTGGCACAGACTGTCCAGAGGCTGCAGATGCCCCATCCCCGGAAACATTCAAGGTCAGGCTGGACAGGGCTCTGAGCAACCTGATCTAGTTGAAGATGTCCCTGCTCATCATATGGTGGTTGGACTAGATGGCCTTTAGAGGTCCCTTCTAACCCAAACCATTTTATGAATTTATAAATCCATTTTTCCAGTGATATGCTGAGAATACCATTTTCATCAGACCATGTAACAAGCATTTAGCTAGCTTTTCCATATACATATATCCTTGTTAGAATATATGTAAGGATCAAAATTAAATAATCAGCTTAAGGGAATCCAACGGAAATTTGCCCCGGATTTAAACCCTTTATATAAGTTTAACCCCTGGCTAAATTTATTATAAGTCAGTATGTACTGACAATCATTAGCTGGCAGAAAGGAAGAAAATTTATCTTTTTTTTTGTAAAGTGTAAATGTGCTGAGTAAATCTCTTTAATAGCTATAGGGGCATATTTGGACATGTGCACACCTCTGTTAAACAAATAAATTTGAACTGTACAGGCAATAAATTTGAAATACATGTAATATGTTCTCATTTAAATAAAATTTCAAATAAAACATTCTAGACAATGACAATATTATATCTAAAATTACGTTTTAAAAAAGGGTTTCTTTAGTAGTACTACAGCAAAAATAGATATTTTTCTTTTAAAGAAAAGTACTTTTTTTTGGTCTTCAACACAAATGACCTGAAGCAGCCTAGAGAACTCTACTGATGATTTACAGAAGTCAGGCTTAATCTAAGACTGAACTTTGAAAGATTCATTCTAAATGTGAAATTTAAAAATACCTTAAAAACAATACTCTAAATCATCAAGGTCAGAAGAGGCCTGCAAGATGATCCAGTCCAACTGTACATCCAGCACTACCACTGTAAACACTAAACCACGTCACCCAGCGCCAGATCCAGACACCTCTTAAACACCTCCAGGGATGGTGACTTCACCACTTCCCAGAGCAACCATTTCCTCTGGTTCTCTCACTATAGGCACAGTTGAGGAGATCAAACCCACCTCACTACAATCTCCTGTCAGGGAGTTGTAGAGAGCAATGAGGTCACTCCTGAGCCTCCTCTTCTCGAAACTAAACAAACCCAGCTCCCTCAGCTGTACCTCACAGAATATCTTCTCTAGTCCTTCCACGAGCCTTGTTGCCCTTTGCTGGACATGCTCCAGCACCTCAATGTCCTTTTTGAAGTGAGGGGCCCAAAACTGAACACAGGATTCAGGCTCTGGCCTCACCAGTGCCGAGTACAGAGGGACAATCACTTCCCTAGTCCTGCTGGCCACACTATTCTTGATTCGGGTCAGGATGCCATTGGCCTTCTTGGCCACCTGGGCACACTGCCCAGGCTCATGTTCAGACGGCTGTTGTCCAGCACCAAACAGCTCTCAAGCCACTTACTCCTCCCCCAGTCTGTAGCACTGCATGGTGTTGCTGTGATCCAAGTGCAGGACCCAGCACTTTGCCTTATTGAAACCTCATACCATTGGCCTCAGCCCCTTGATCAAGTCTGCCCAGTCTCTCTGCAGAGCCTTCCTGCCCTCCAGCAGATCAACACTCCTGCCCCACTTGGTGACGTCTGCAAATTTACTGAGGGTGCACTTGATGCCCTCATCCAGATCATCAATAAAGATGTTAAACAGGACTGGCCATAAAACTGAGCCCCGGGGAACACCGCCAGTGACTGCCTGCAACTGGATTTAGCTCCATTCACCACAACTCTCTGGGCCCGGCCATTCAGCCAGTTTTTTACCCACTGAGGAGTCCCTCCAACCAAGCTGCAAGCAGCCAGTTTTTCCAGGAGGATGCTGTGGGAGACAGTGTCAAACACTTTACACAAGTCAAAACAGACTACATTCACAGCCTTGCCCTCATCTTCTAAGCGGGTCACCTTGTCATAGGAGATCGGATTGGTCAAGCAGGACCTTCTTTTGGTAAATCCACATTGGCTGGGCCTTATACCCTGGCTGTCCTGCATGTCCATATACAACCTTACCAAAACAACTGCTACTGAAAACCAAATTAAACAAGTCTACACTGACAAGGATCCTTCTCTATTTTTCATTTCTAATGGCTTATATGTTTCACTAATCAGGTTGGCAGTCTTGAAAAACTCCATTTATAAAATTCAAGTTGTCTTGACCATAGCCACACCCACACTAAGAAGGGGTGAGCAAAATACATCATTGATAGTGAGCATTAATGACAGGTTGGGTCCCCTTTCTCTTGTTTGGTTCTAATTCTTCTATGTTCAATTTTTGTCACATATAGAAGCATGACATGAAGACAAAGCCTCAACAATTTCAAAAGAATCCATCATTCTCTGACTAAATCATCATTTAAAGTCATCACCTACAGCTTCCCTCCAGTTCTGGGTATGGATTCTCAAATACATTCTGGGAAAAAATGTTATTTGGTGTACCAGACAGATCCATTAGCCTAGATTTTGTGTGTGATTAATTTTAAATTTCTGTACTTTATTCTGTTGTGTATTTTGTACATAACAGAACTATACCAAGTAAGTCGAGGGCATTATTTTTTAAGCTACAGCATTTTTCTCAAGCCATTTTACTTCCCCTTAAAGAAAACGTCACCAAAGAACACCTTGTTTAGGAGGTACTTTTGGGGTGTATATTGTATGGTTTGGGTTTTTTAAGATTATATCATACTAAATGATTAACAGAAAACAGAAATGATCTAATCTATTTTATTATTTTTTCACACTGAATAAGTCTTTTCACCACTTCAACAGCCAACATATTTTAAAGAATCCCTGAAGGATATGGAATTACGAGGCATCAACCAAGATGGTATCATTCAATTACTATGCTCCCTAAAAAATCACTTTGCCTACAGACCAAGAAATACCACAGGACAAATGAGACCAACATTATTTAAAAACACTCAGTTTCTCAAGGATTAGTTAAATATTGGTAGTATCTATCACTGAAGTCTAACCGTACAATTCTGAAATAATCTTACAAATACAAAGCAATGTAAGACTCTTCCCAAGTGTAACATGGCTAAACTTAGAGCATTGTGCTACCATTTATTTCATTATCACTGATCTTTTCCAGATACAACCTAAGGGTTTGGATTTTTCTCCCTATGTCACTCTGGCAATACATCACAGCTTCAATTAGAAGGCTATAATCTATATACAGTTGGGATCCGCAGTTCACGCTTTTTTTTTTCCTTTTGCATATTGGATTTTTGGAGGCAAAACCAGAGAAAGGTACTTCAGTTGTAAAAAAAAAAAAAAAAAAGAAAGCTAAGGAAAGCCCCTTTAAAGAGCCAAGAAAGCAAACGAGGAACGCTCGCTGTTCTCCTCCCTTGAGGGAGGAAAGGAACTGAGAGGAGGACGTGGGGAAGAAGGGGGAGGAGACACTTTTAAAAAGCGAAATATTGAGAACAGGGTGAACTTACTTAACCCGCGCGCACCGACCACAACCCAGTCCACGCAGGAGAGAACGCGAACTCACGGAGCCTCCGCGCACCGACCACACCACCACAGGCAGGAACCAGTCCGTCCCCTGCCGAGGCTGCGGACAGACAGACAGACCCGGCCCACGAGGAACAGCGGGGCGGAGCGGGGGGAGCTGCGAACGCGCCCCCGCGGCCCCGCGGGTGCCGGGGCCGAGGCGCTGCGTTACCCCCGCTCCGTGTCACCCCCGCGCTGCGGCTCAGGGGCGCTCCGGGGCCCTCCCCCGGCCCCTCCTCCAGTGACCGGCCGTGCCCGCGGGAGCCGAGCTGCCCCAGCGGATCCTTCCTCAGAGAAGGGAAAGGAAGGGCGGCGGAAGATGCTCTGCCCCGCACCTCCCCGGGAGCTCCGGGGCCACCTGTGGCAGCGAGCCCAGCCTGACAGACAGGCTGGCGGGCTGCGCCCCGCCCTGTGCGGGGACGGCGGCGGCGGCGGGCCCCGATCCCCCAGCCCCCGGGCGGCGGCGAGGGTGGGAAGCAGAGCGGGCGCTCCGTACCTGTGGTGGCCGCCGCCGCCGCCGCCGCCGCCGCCGCCTCCTCAGCGCGCGCCCCGCGCGCCCCCGTCCCCGCGCCGGAGCGGCACCGGAGCGCGCGGCCCGACCCAACGCCCCCTCCGGCCCCGCCCCGCTCCGCTCCCAGCGCGCGCCGCCGCTCTCGCGACGCTTCCCGCCCGGCCCCGCCCCCGGGCCTGCCGCTACGCGCTCCCATTGGCGGGGAACCCGGGCCCGCCCCGGAAGGAGCCGCGACAGGGCGCGGGGGCGGGGGCGCGCACCGCTCTTCCCGGTGCGTGCGCGCGCGCGCGCTCCCGCGTGGGGGTGAGCGCGCGCCGCCGCGCCGGCCGGGGCCCGGGGAGGGTCTCTGCTCGCCCTGTGCCAGTCCAGGTCCCAGTCCCTGCCCCCGTCAATGCCCCAGCCACTCTCCGTGCCCCAGTCCCTGCTCCTGTCCCAGTCCATGTCCCTGTCACTCTCCCTGTCCCTGCCCTTGCCCTTCTCCCCCTACCCGTCTCTCCCAGCCTCCGTCCCTGTCCGAGTCCCCGTCCGTGCTCCTGTCCAGCCCCTGCCCCTGTCCTGTCCCGCGGGGTGTGCCCAGGCGCGGGCACCGCTCTTGCAGAGCCCCGGGCTGTGTGTGCCTGCCAGGTGAGCTGGGCCGATCCTGCTGCTCGGGATGGCCTCTCCCGGCAGGCTGGCATCCCAGGCGTCTGGCTGCCTCGGGTTGGAGGCTACAGCATGGTTTTAGTCAGACGAGGCACAGACAAGACTGTCAAACCCTGCCTGGAAATCTTGCGCCCTTCCTCCTTTCCACATGCCATTTTTAAACTCGGTGCTACCAGATTCCCCTGGACACTAGGTGAATAGTTTGGCCCAGCAAATACGCAATTAATTTCCACATCCTCATGAGTTAGGATGATATATGTTTAAGTGTAGGTGCTGTTGGGGCCTGGGATTTCATTTTGTTTGCATGGAAACAGTAATTTCATGTAGCTTCCCAAAATAACTTGGTTTCAGCAGCAGCAGCAGCTCCTTCAGAGACTAACCTGACAACAAGGACACAAATGAGGAAGTGCGTTGGACAATGCACAATGGATCGTCTTAGCAATGTGCGCTAACAACTGTGTCTCTCCCAGAAAGAGAGACTCCTGGAATCAGGACAGGTCTTTCTGAGACTTGGCATGTCAGAGTGAAGCTCAGGAGGAGGAACAACAGAACTGGAGTTCCACTGTGGCTACAGGTGGAGACGGGGCAGCATGTGCTTGCAACAGCTTCTGAAAGACAGAAAAGAAAGAGCCCCCAAAGCTAAATTCAGCAAAAAATCCCAAACTTCATATACTAGGGAAGGGGTTAGGAAAGAGAAAAAGAATCCTAAGATGCTAGCCTTGTAGCTTTTTCAATACTGGACCGTTTCAATGTCCAACCTGCTCCACTTTACAGAGACAAAGACAAACAGAGGGAGACTACTGTGTGAGAATTTTTGCTACTGGATCTCCATTACTTCTCTAGATAATTCCTACTTGTGCCTACCTTCTGTTTTCACTTGAGCTGTGGCTTTTATTTCTATTTAGTCTTTGATCATGGGCTGTTTCTCGTTTGTGCAATCATTTTAGACACTTCAGAAGTCAGGGTGTGCATAATCACTTACTGATTTTTGCCAACAGGTAGGTGAGCTACATTTTAATTTACTGTAAAAACTAGTAAGCTATGGACAAAGCCAACAAACCATGCAAACACTACATAGATAAAAGAAACAAAGGACTGGTTCTAAAATATGTCACACTGTGTGGCTTAAGTGGGACAAATAAAATGGTTCTCATATTCCTAGGAACTGCAGGTCCCTATGAGATGGAGAGACAGTAAATGAATAAAAGCATCAAATTTAAATCAAGTTAGTCATCATTTCAGTGCCCCTTGAGACCAGCCTCACTTGGAAATACACTATCATTTGAGTAAAGACATTTTAACAGTTTGCACATCTCTAGCTAACCAACAAAATACCTCCTTTTGACCAACTCCATCACTAAAAACACTTTTCAGTTTTCATGAAAGCTAAAAATTCTGTAAGAGGGTTTTGTTGTTTTTAATGTATCGTTGTTTTTCATGTATCAACAATAAGTAAAAAAATTCCAAAACAAAGTAGCTCTGGAAGCAATGTAAACATGAGAAAGCATGCTTTAAAAATAAATTCAAGCCTTTTATTCCCTTTGTTTTATAATTCCGCTGAGACTATTCAGAATAATGAGTTCCTATGGCTCTCTGCCAAAACCTTGAGAAAAATCAAGATTTATCCTCATCAGGAAACTATGAAACGTGACCCACAGCATGCCATTGTTTGTCAGAGAAAATGTTATTTTTTACACAGCAATCAAAATGGAGATAGTTTTGAAATAGTGATTTAAATTTTTTTTGTTGTTTTTTACAGTTGATTTAAATACTCTCTATGTAAAAGCACAGGAAACTTGTCTGGCCAGCCAACACTTCTTAAAATTTATATTAATTATGAAGAAATAGAGTGTTGGTTTCTGAGCTCTGGTATTTTGTGTCCTGCTAATTTTATATTTTTCAGGGCAGGGTCTGGCCACTCAGAACCCATTCTGCTGACCCCAGCCAGGAAGCAGGGAAGCTGGGGACAGCCCCAGCCTGGGGCGTCGGGATGGGGACAGGTAAAAGCCAGGCTGTGACATCAGTCCACTTGTGGGGATTAGGATCAGGCCCCATGAAGGGGATCAGCATCAGGCAGAGCTGGTCATGCATCTGTAGTGTTTTCTACTTGCTCATTTGGTATGAAAAATAGGCATCTTTAGAATCTTTTTGTCAAAACTACTGTTCCTATCCTGACTCGCTGTCAGTATCTGGCTTTTAAGCTTGATATCTTAGGATCACTGGCTTGGAGCAACTTATTCAAATATTATCTCAGACTGACCAATATGTCATCTCTCTCGGGTATTGAGTGCCAGTTCTGTGAAAGGTGTTGAAGAACTAGTCTGTGACTTTCTGGCAGTATTCTGTCTGTTTTCTTCCTAGTCCCTTACTTACATTTTTTCCTCTGTACAGGAAAACTACACAGTTGCATGATTGTGTCAATGTTGTTTTGTCAGGGTTTTTTATGATACTGCTTCTGAAAAATGTGTCTCTATAACTAAAGCTTTATTAAGTTTGGGCAAGACTTGAAATTATATTGTATAAGCTACACTTAGAATAATAAGGATTGCCTTCTCAAAGGCAGATGTGTAATTTATATGTATTCCTACCTTCAACAGGAGGCATAGCATACTCTTCCTGTTTTAAAACCTGTTTAAGCCTTTTCCATTGATCCCCTTGCAGCAAGCTGGGAAGGATCTGCCATGTGCTTGATAATAGTCCACCCTTCTTCCCCTGACCCCTTCAAAAACAAAAAGACCAAAAAAAATTTAAAAATCTAAAGGTCATAATGTAATAGTTTTATTAATGACTTCTAGTGGCTTCTCTGTTTATAACCTACCCTTCAGCTCCCCAGCCCAGCTCCCTGCTCCTGCATCTGCACTGCTTCTGGACTGTGCCAGCACAAACATTTGTGAAATCAAGCAATAAATGAGACTGAACTGAGAAGAATAGAGAACAGCCTGCTTTCCTTCCGTTTTGCTGATCCAGTTCACCAGCGTAATAAATGTGTCAGCATGGCACTGGGGATAGCACAGAAACAACCAAGAACGGGAACAGCTTAAATTGTCTTGTTCTGCTCCTGAGGGCATACCCATGTGTTGGCTTGCTTTGCCATTTAGGCCCTAATGAGTGTCTCCTTGAAAACACTCTTGACACCCTTACCACCTCCTAAAATGGAACTCTTTGTCTCAGTGGGTGATTCTATTAGTCATCTTGTCATGAATCTTTGGCCTGGGCTGGACCATGGCGTTTGTGTCTGACAAATGTTGGGTTTATGGCATTATAGTATAATGTGATGGCATTTTTTGGTTTCTCTTCACTGAATGTTTTGTGAATCCATTTTTGACATGTCTGAGAAGTCATTTTTATTTGCGTGTTTATGGATATCTTAATTCCTTTTTTCAACAGTGAAACCTAGTAACTTTTATACAAGGTATATATTGCAGCTATTTCTGGCTTCTCTTTCTCTGGAGTTTGATCTGTGACCTGTGTTAAGTGATCTTTCAAAACAATATGCACAAGGGGTGTAATCCACGGACTATATACTGAATTCATCCTTCAGCTGGCCAGTTTTATGTCCTGCTGACAAATGAGTTCTCAGAGCCAACTAAATAGGCCTTTTAACGCAAAATGGAAAGCGTCACAAACTAACCCTATCAAAAGATGCATTGTGCTCCATAGAGGCGGTTTCAGATGATATGAGATTATTATCCAAAGCCTTGGAAAGTTCTCTGAATTCACATCCTTTCTGTGCATTGTGTTTGCTTAGAGGATGCAATAAACGTTGTCACTGTGTTACACAAGAGCATACAATAATAACTGGAGCTGGCTGGGAAGTGAAATTTTTATTCTACAGGAAATTCCAACTTGTCAATATTTTGTTTCATCAGGTGCTGGAACAAAACACGTTGGCTCTGCAGCCTTTCTGGCAAAAAATGG